TTTTGATAAGTTTATCGCAATCAAAACTATGCGCTTTACCGTAAAAATAATATATATTACAACAGTGAGAAGGAAAAACAAAAATGAGTTTCCCCTGCTAAAGGCCCCCCCCCGCTAGCAGTCCAATGCCGATTTTCCTCATGATAGCTTTAGTTATTTGGATATCCGGGCGTGAAAAGAATTAATGGTTTGGTAAAAATTGCGATATCATTTTAGGTATCGGCTGTTCGTACCTCATCTCGAAGAAATCGACAACGTCCCGCTACAGGTCGGCCTCTTCACCGATTCAACCCCCGGCGCCACAAAGGAAATGATCGCCATCATGCAGGTACGTCTAAATAGTGTTACTTTATCACTGCATATTTTTTTAGGAATACGGCGAATTCGTGTTGGCCGTCGGCTCATCGCTAAACGTCGCCAATGGCAGCATTTTTGGCCAGGTACAAATCTGGTCGATCTTTTGAAGGATTACTTTCTAGGCCAACGTTTCAATTTGTGTGGAGCCGTTGCGGGACGATTGTCAGGCGACGAAAACGGTACTTTACTAATTACGTACTTTGAAAAAATTGTGTAATTCAGGAAAAAGTGAAGCCCCGGATCCGCGCCGTCGCTCTCGCCACCGATTGCATGAAGATTGGGGCGAATTTTGTGCTCCAGCACGAGCAGGTGGAGCTAGAAATGGCACTGGACTGTTTGCGGGGGAGGGAGTTTTTCAAATTTTTTTATGATTCTAATCGCAAAACTAGGATTTTTGACCCTAGATCCAAAAATGATAAATTTTTCGGCCACACTAACACCCCAGTACCCTAGAAAAATTGATAAAATTCACCTTTTTTCTAGTTGCCCCTCCTTTCCGAGCTGATCACCGCTTATCGACATCGGCTGTACTCGCTGAGGATTGCGCTCCAATTTCTGCTCTCTCTCCGGGTCCCTTGTCACTTCTCGTGGCCCTTTCAGCCGCTCTCTACCTCCCCATCATCTTCAAGCCGGATCAGGTTTGTAGATGATAGTGCGAATTCTAACGACCATTCCAGGTGCTACTCTTCGTGCTCATCTCTTTCCCCATTCATCGTTCACTTCACCTCTTTTGGGCTCATTTCTGCCGCGAAAAAAATTTTGTCAAGATTGCCGGCAAAAATCAGGATCATATCAGATCGGTTAGGTACAAAAACGAGCCCCAACTTATGCCCTTTTTTAGGAAGGAAGTGGTCGGCGCCGTTTGGTCATTTGTATACAATTTCTGCCGACGATACTCTTTCACGTTGGCGCTGTACTTTTCTTGGGTCAGTTTAGGGGATATTTATCTATGACAAAAAAATTGTTTTACAGAGTTTTTGAACTTCAGAAATGCTTAGAAAAAAGTCTAAAAAATGGCTTTATCAGTAGCAAAAATTTAGAATATTTTAAAAAATAAAATGTCTAGGGACGAGCTTTTCCAGAATTACCTATCGTAATCATATAACGTCAATACGCATTCCCTTGTAGCTCGTCCGCCACGTCGATTTCGAGTGTGAATTCTCGGATCTGGTGTGCTCGGTTGGATATCTGCACGATGAGTGGGAGCCACGCCCAAGTCCCAGAAAAAGCCATGTTTTAGAAGCGAGTCCAACGGCACCCTGACGGCCCATCTGAAGCTGAACACCGAGCAAGTGCGGCATTTGGTCGCGTTTCAGGTAGGGCAAAGAAAAAGTTTGATTCTATTAAAAAAAAATTCAAAAAAGAAGAGCGCGTTTTCAGTTCCTCTGTTTCACCATCGTCCACTCGTTATCCTGGGCTTCTCCGCTATTTCCGGTCTATCAGAACCGAGTATTTATCAGGCCTCTATGGCTTTTGACAGTCATGTTTCTACTTTTTATGCAGGTAAAATTTGGAGTAGGTTAGTATTTCCAGGGGTCGGATTTATCCTGATTCCATCTACGCCTAGCAAGTATTGTAACAGTGTTTTTAACAAAATTTAACCATTTTTTAAGAAAAAAAACAATCTAAAAACTTTGAAAAAATGTTGTTGACATTTTGGTCGAAAATCGACCATTTTGTAGAGTTTTTACATTTCGATCTATCTAAAAAACTAAAAAAAATTCGAAAATTGGTAATTTTTTGTCGAATAATCTATATTTTGTAGTTTTAACTTAAATTTGTAAAGTGTTTACAAATTGTATTTTAAAAAAGTGATAATAATAAAAAAAGTATTTAGAAACAATTCTTCTATTAATATCAGGAGCTAGGCTAAGAAAAATTCTGACCCCCCCGAAAAGAGAAAATACCCTCGAAATTTACAAAACAAAACGAAATTCCCGTTTAGCTTATTTTTTCCACGATATCACTTGACGCGAATCTTCTCAACCTCATCACGACACCCCAGCTATTCGGGCTTGTCGTGTGGAGCATCTGTATTCTTGTTGTAAACGAGGTGAGATAAGTACTGACTATTTTCTATTTTACAAATTTCCATTTTGACCTTTGTTGTTTTATAAGTCTATTTTAGGTCCGAAAACTGACGCAACGCCGCCTGTTCATGCGGGAACAGCGCCGACGAAAATTGGCATTTGATACTAAACTAGGCATGAATTCGCCATATTAAAAGATCCTTCAAATAGGCAATTTATTGTATGTACATATCGCAATAAATAGATTATATATAATTTATCTACATATACATCTTCTATTGGTAAATACAGGCTTTTATCAACCGCCCAGCGCGAACTTCTTGGTCCACTCCCGGGCCATACGAGCCCGATCGCGGGCGATGGCCTCTGGGTCGTCGTCACTTGGGTCTTCGCGCTCGGCGGGGAATTGAGTGGTAATTGAGGAATACGGGCCGGGAGGATCTGCAAATTTTTTAATTCACTAATGTGCCATTTTAATGGCGTTTTATTGTGGTTTTAATTCTACCTGGAGGTATCGTTAACAGAAGCTCCACCATCCAGTCGAGCAGCCCGTCGATGGCGGTTTCCGGGTATTTGTCGAGCTGTTCTTTGGGTAGCAGAAGCGAGCCCTTGGCTGAGACATATGGATGCCAGACTCGGGTTAAGAATGTTATCTGAAAAGTGTTTTCATAGGTATTTGGAACAGCGTGAATCCCTAACAATGTCAAATTCCTGACTTTTTTAAGCGTTGCGCCAAGCTAAATAACTGTATTTTCCCCGTAAAATCTATAACAAATTAGAAAACATTGATATCTAACAGTTTCGCACGACAAAGAAAACACAGCTAAAAAATTGACAAAGATTTGTAAAAAGTAAAAATTCAAAATTTAGCCTGTTTAAATGTCTAATTTTTTCTAGATATAATTGCTCGCTGATTGGAAACTATAAAATACAGTATATCATTACTAGTTCGATTTGACCAAATAAGAACAACCTGTGGAGCCTCACGGAGGTACAGCCCGGAGAACTGGACTTGAAACCAGAAATAGCCACCCTCGTAGGGTGTGTCCTAAATTTGCATTAATTTTATTACTAAAGTATGCACATTTCTAAACTAACAACAATTCTGCCGAAAATTATTGTCTTTCCCAAAAAATTTGCTTCTTAACAGCCTAACAACGATAATTACTTTTTAAACCATCGTCAAAAAACCAACCGGTTGCCCTTCAAGCACGCCCTGCCACTTCAGCTCGTCCGACTTCCGCGGCGCCATCATTATGTATTTTCGCGGGTTCTAAATCTCTATGAATTCTTTTGAATCGGCCCGACGAAATATAGTCGAAGCGCTTCCATTGGCAGCGAGACGCGGGCCGTCTTCTCGTATTCCAATCGCTTCAAGTTTTTGGCGTGCAGCTTTAGATATCCTAAAAAAAAACGATCAAGTCGTCGATTATAGTTATTTTACGCTGTCGCTCAGCGCCCGTATATTGTTGCTGATCCGTGATGTCTTCGACAAATTCTGGTTCTGGGGCTGTGAAGGGTGGCTTGACGGGCAGGATTTGAGTGAAATCGATCATGTTTCGGATTGCTGGTTTCTACAGAAAATTCGGGTTTTAGAGTAGCTATTAAAACGCAAACCTTTCCGTCTTCAGACAATCCTCTCAGTGCCACGGGGCGGCAAGCAGGTTCGTGGCCGAATCTGAGAATTACGGGATTGCTGCAATATTGCTCAACATTGCTTCCAGGTTCTCCCTGGTTTTTGCAAAGACAACTTGACGCATACCTTCTTTACTGTTTTTCTGATTAAAATATATAATCAATATACATTTTAGGTTCTTTAGTATTTTCGGGAAGGTCGGAATTCTATTCCTGTAATTAGAACGCTATAGCAGGTACTATAACAAGTTTTACTGAAACTTAGCTAGTTCTAAAGTCGAAATACTATTTAGAAAACTTTTAAAACTATTAAAAATGTCAACATCCAGATCTCAAACTATATTTATCAAGTGAAAGCTAAACACTCAGTAAAAACTTACGGTGCTGGACATATTTCCGGAAATATGTCGGGATTCACATTGATATTGTCGAAAACGAGCGTCCGAACCGCTGGCCTTCTAGCCGAGACTCCACGGCCGGTGCTGGGGCCAGGTTGAGCTGAAGTCATCGTGGCACTAGGCACATTCACAGGCATAAGCGCTTGATTTGACGGTCCGGCGCCAGAATCCACGAATCCGGCACCAGCTTGTGTTGATGTAGATATCGTTTCCGGGGTGGTGTGATGAGGATGGCCGCGGCCCCTCGTGCTTAGATTGAATGGGTTGTTGCCCCTAAATAAATTTAGAGGAAAGAAAGACTTTTCTAACCTTTCAAACTGTTCGATTGAGCCGTGACAGCGCCGGGGATCCGGGACGATGCCTTGTCGACTACGGGGATCAGCGTTGATATAAGGAGTCGCGGGGAGCACGTCGTCTTCGCGGATGAATTCCCTGAAAGTTTTGGGCCGTAACGACCATTTGTCGCTGGTGGTTTTAAAAGAAATCTAACCGTAAATATTTAGACGATTTTTAGAGGCTATCTAACGAAAGAGCGGGCAAATTTTGAGATGAGAATTTTCTCGAAACCAAACCTATTTTGAATATTTCGCAATGAAGTTGCGTAACAATTCTCCGCCCATTCAACGCGTAATCAAACATACGGAAGGTCGGAAGGCGGGTACGTCGATGAAGAATCAGAGCCGCTGGTGAAAAGCGAAGAACTGCTGCTTCCCGACCGATCGTCCATCTTCTGAGTTATCTACACGGCCGTTCGGATCTTCATCCAGTTCTCGGGCAAGGCTGGACTACCCCGGACGTGACAAGCCTCTGCACGGCCGGCGGGGAGTTGAATGGTACACATGATGAAAGACCCTCTCCCCCCCCTCCCCCCCTCTGACTTGCAAGGCTATAATTGCGTATAAATTACAGGGTCCAGACCCTTGACGCTTATTGAAAGCGTTAAAAGATGTATTGGATTTCAGATTTAGGGAAGCAGCTCGCGTTCAATAATGTGCAGTCTTTGGGAATCAGTTTGGTGAATACTGTAAGTAAACAGTGCCTAAGTCTGTAATTGTGTAGGTCACTACCATAAACCCCGTCGGCTGGAATCCAAAAAAAAAAACCCGGGAGAAAGCAACGCCAAACTCTAAAAAGAGAAATGCCAAACTGAAGCTGCATCGCTTACAGCAGCTACCGCTGTAAGTAAACCCTTCGAAAAAGCATGCTTCACCGCAACTTCGAACTTCTATATGCCACAATACCATGCTCATACACACCCCAATCAAAGTTGCAAAAAATTTATTGATGGTACGGGCATTTATTCACATTTCACAGAAATTGACAAAATTCAAATATGGTAAGAATTATTCGAGGACAAGTTTCAAAAATTCATTTGCAGCAAGTGCCCCCCTTTTGCTGGGCATTGTTAGCGGCGTTGATATCGACAGTCCCGGTCGGTTCACCAGGGGGTGGTCCGGTAGGCAGCTGAGAGGGGGAGAATTTCAGTAATTTTTGTCGAGCAAAAGTATACCTTGCGTGCAATTGCCATAAAGATGTCGTTAACATTCATCGAAGATTTGGCAGAGGTTTCCATGAACAATAGGGAGTTGTCTTCAGCATATGCCTAAAAAAGAAATTGCTTCAAAACATGAATCAGTACCTGGGCTTCCTCGTATTCAACAGCACGACGATTTGCAACGTCGGCTTTATTACCGGCAAGAGCCATCACAATGTTTGGGGAGGCCTGGCGCTGCAGTTCCTTCACCCAATTTTTGGCCTTTTGGAAGGAGTCCTGTAACAAAAGATTTAAATAAAATAAAAGAATTTCGTACCGCGTTCGTAATGTCGTAGACCACTATAGCGGCCTGGGCGCCGCGGTAGTACATAGGAGCCAAAGAGTGATACCGCTCTTGCCCAGCCGTATCCCAGATCTCGAATTTGACGGTCGCATCATCCAGAACAACAGTTTGCGTTAAGAAAGCGGCTCCAATCGTAGACTCTTGGTACTCGTGAAATTGGCCCTTCACAAATCGAAGTACTAGTGAAGATTTGCCTGAAAAACGGAGATTTAAAACCGTCCGGGACAACGAATTCCATCGCCCCTGTGAACTGTTTAATTTTACAACGCGAGATAGCCGGCCCGGGTTGTTTATTCGGTACTTATGCAGCCAAAAGGCGACGATCGATGGAAGCGATAAACAAAGCCGCCACCGCGTCATAACACCCGGGTATCAATTTCGCAAGCGAACGGGCCCGCATACGAATTGAGAGGCATTATCGAATGAAAGACAAAATCGAACCACTCACCTACAGCACTTTCACCCAGCAAAACAAGCTTGAACTGGCATGTCCTGTTTCCTCCGGCTGGCGCAGTCCTTGTCGTCCCCTGTCCACCTCTACTCGCCATCCCACAACCTGAAAAGAAAAGTATTTTCTTGCTGTCATGAAGTCGAAGAGATGGTTGAGGAATTTTTGGCATGGAATTATGAACAGGGGGAGCGGCCAACGGGACCAATTAGGGACCAGCTGCACCAGAAGAGAAGATACGGCGGTCGTCAGGGCAACTGGGCCACAGACTTTAGAGCGGAAGTTGTCTACACAGAGGGGGCCCAACGAGTTTGGAAGTTTATAAAGTCAAACTAAAGAGTAGAGATCAATAGATAACGCTTGTTATTCTTAACAACTCGAAGAAAGTAGGGCACTACTTCAGTTTGCTGGCCCCACTTATATTTCGCCAAAACCTCATGTTTCCGGGCTAGTTTTTTGCGCTGATTCCGAAAAACACTATCCTAGCCCGCGAAAATGCTATTTAGGAAAAAATATTAAATTAATATTTTATTGAATATCGGGAAAATTCCATTTTACGGCGCTTGCGAAAAACTCGTATTTTTGTGGGTTTTTAACTAAATAAATAACCAAAAACTGGTAGTTACCAAGAAAAAATAGCTTGTAGCATTGTCAGGCAAGGCGGGCCGTCGCTTCGGATGGGCTGCCGCTCCACTCTTTCGAAATCGGGGCGCCTGGCCGCTGCGCGCGCCTCGGGCGCCCCGATTTCGAAACCCTGTACGAGCTCGCACCCATCCGAAGCGACTAGGCCCCGGGTGGCACGAAGCCTTATTTTTAGGAAAAAACGAACGCAAGGGATAAGCCTTCTTGGAAATAGGGTTTTCCCCGTTTCATAGGCCTCCCACTTCAACGCCCTAGTTAACCATTTGAAACTCAAACCATGAAAACTGACAATGAAATTGTTTTTCCCTTCAAAACACAACTTTGACGATTCGGGATAGTGTTTTTCGGAATCAGCGCAAAAAACTAGCCCGGAAACATGAGGTTTTGGCGAAATATAAGTGGGGCCAGCAAACTGAAGTAGCGCCGAAAGTAGAGCTAAATCGGGATCGTTTGAGACGATTTTTCTTTCAGACAACTAAAAGCTCCAATGATATAGAGTGGCTGCAAAATACCATTCTTTAGCTTGTAAACAAGTTAGAAAAACAAAAAAACTATGTATCGATGGACCCCGAAAGAAATGAGTCATCAAAACCAACGTCGTCTATAACGAAATCGCGCGATGTTATCTATCTAGCTAAACAAACATAAAAACAATATCGAGATGATAGAATTGATTGTGACACCCGCTAGGGGATGAGTGAGCAGTCGGGGCAACCGGCTCCATCGGAGCGCTGGAATTGGGTGCGTAGCGGGCTTGTCACGTTAGCTGCGCCGGGGAACATTTCCCATGGGAAGAGCGAGAGGGCGCCGACGGGCAAAGAATTGGGGACAGCATTTAGGGGAGAGAGCGGCCGGTTGGATTACGCAACGGAGAGAAACCTTTGAAAATAAAAGGATTCGGATAGTTTGATCGGAAATCTTTGATAAATGGGGAAAATTTCACTTTACGGTATGGTCCCAAAATGTAAATTTTTCGACTGGAATCGGTGCAGCTCGATGAGTTTGTGCGTTTCCAGTTGAAAAAACGATTGGGAAACATTTCTGGACAAAGTTATAGACTTTTGAAAATCGCTAGTTCACTTTACGGTATGTGAACAAAACCTCAATTTTTGAACAGGAAACGATAAAGCTCGATGAGATAAAGCGTTTTCAGTTGAAAAAACAATTGGGAAATTTAAAATAAGAAAGTTATGACGTTTCAAAGATATTTTTGCTAAGGACTGTAGGCTACGCAACACTCCTATCACCGCATTCTAGCGCGTGCGCACTCTGCCAGCGCTTACGTACTTATCTAAAAGCATTTATAATTTTTAAAACTAGTATTTTAAGCATAGAATAGATAAATAACAGTTAGTTGTGGCCTCCAACATTGTCAGGCAAGGCGGGCCGTCGCTTCGGATGGGCTGCCGCTCCACTCTTCCGAAATCGGGGCGCCTGGGCGCTGCGCGCTCCTCGGGCGCCCCGATTTCGAAACCCTGCACGAGCTCGCACCCATCCGAAGCGACTAGGCCCCCGAGTGGCACGAAGCCTTATTTTTAGGCTTAAATTGGGTGTTCAGCTAGCAAGCCCCTTCAAAAAGGCCATATTTTGGTACATTTTCATAGTAATTTTCAAAAGCTAATAACTTTGTCCAGAAGCGTTTCCCAATCGTTTTTTCAACTGAAAACGCACGAACTCGTCGGGATACATCGATTCCAGACGAAAAAATGACATTTTGAGAACATACCGTAAAGTGAAATTTAGCCGATAAATGTTGTTTTCTAATTTTTCTTTAGATTTTGTAAAAATTGTGAAAAGTTGACTGAAAAAAAAAAGAGAAAGCCTTGCCGTTTCAAAATCCGTCCTAATTTTGTAAAGTGGACTGACGCGTAGTGCTTCTCGGAAATTTTTTTCTTGAAGAATAAATTATCTTTTTTAATCTATTTTTATTCATTTTAATTAATTTTATTATTACGTTTACCTTTAAATTAGTATGAAATCACAAATTCTCCTTTAGAAACCGCCGAAATGAGCAAGCAACCGCGTCGGAAGAACAATGCACAGGTTGATACCCCCTCTAAATCTTTATCCCAGCTTTAGAGCGCCAGCAGCGGTCGAGCAGCCGATCTATTGGCCCGAGCCGAGGGCAATACCCTTGGATTCCTGGCCCACGGCGCGAATAACCCGTTCGAAGCAGCAACAGCGGCCTTCAGCGAGTCGCCGGCAACCTCGAACGCCGTCGAGTTGGACTCAGAAGTGGCGCTGGTCTTGAAGAAGCTGGTCAAGAAGGACCCGCTAACAAGGGAAAAGGTTCGTGCCAAATTTAGAGCCTAAAGACCCGATTTTAGGCGCTACGGGAGCTGCTAGAAGCCTCGGAGAACCGGGAGCCGGCGGTGCTTCTGGAAATCTTTCGTCATTTCGTTGCCAGTGCTGATAAGCTGATTTTGGTAAGATTTTCTTGGCTTTTACCTAAAGCAATATTAGGATGGCTCGGCGCCCGTGCGGGCCTATGCTCTACGCGCCTTGAGTTTCTATGTATCGGGTTTGAAGAAGACGGCTCAGAAATATCTCAAACAGGTTAGTATAAATCAGCCAACAATCATGAATGCTTCAGATCGCTCCATTCGTTATATTTGCTCAATCGGACCCAAGCGGTTCCGTTGCCCAGCGAGCTGAGAAGTTTATTTCGGAAAATTTCCCGGCTGAAAAGCGTGACCAGGTAAAAATTTCTGATTACAGCTAAATCACGCTTTTTTTTCAAGTTCATCAATATCTTTGGCCCCGAAGCGGCGAGAATATCTGGAGAATTTTTGCGAAAAGAGCATGCTTTAAATGAAGCGCAGAGGTATAGTTGCTTACCTGTTATTTGTAAATTGCCTTTTTTTTTCAGGTATGACGTCGAGGAAGAAGTTGAGCAGCGGTACTCCCGATTAGTCGCACAATCTTTAAATGTTTGGAAAATATCTAGATTTTTTTACGGTTTTTAGACCCTCGCTATGCTGCAAAAATCTGAAAACGACAGTGCTGCGGAACTGATATCCCAACTATTCTCGGATGCCGCTACGATGAAATTGGTGATGAAAAGCCCGGACCATGTAAAGTTTTTGTAACCAAAAAATAGTTTTATTTTAGGTGAAAATTGGCTTCTTGCGATTGGCACTATCGGGCGGGGATCAAGTGCAGCAGATTCTGATCCAATCCGCCCTCTCGGCTTGGGTTATCCAGAATCTCGATTCTGCAGATGCCACAAATTGCCAGGTAACACCATTCACTCTGCCGTTGTACAAAAACTTTAGACATGCTTCAACACCTTCCTCAAAATCGCCTCCTTGCCCGAATTCTTTGAAAAGTTCAACCTGATCAAAGGGGTCCTGCCACGGCTTCTGACAATTGTGCGGAAGAAGGACTTGTAAGACTCATTTCTCAGATGAATTTTCTTTTGTTTTTTTCAAGACATTGGCGTCACTGTGGCCCGTTGTTCCTTCCGGCCCTTTCGATCGTTTATGAAGCATTGCCAGCTGAGGGGGAGGAGCGCGACGGTTTTCTGCGGCGATTCATTGACTCGTTTTTTGATAACCTTCCGTTTGAGGTGATTTTATTACTCTGGTCGGTATTTGCATTTTAGGTCTCTTCGCTTCAATCGTTTTGGGCTTCGGCGTTGGTCGAGTGTATGAAATTTACGTTGACACGTCCGGGGCTGCAGCAACAGACTTATGATACGGTGATGAACGCGGTGCGCAGATTTTTCGGCTTTTTTTTTGTCGTAAAAGACCACATTCGCATTTGTATTGTTGTTTTTAGTTAACAAAAGCCGTAGAAGTTTTGGCGACAGACAGTGAGGAAAATTCTCAGCCTCTGACTGACTTCATACGATGGCTTGTGGTGAAGGACGGACTGCCGAAGAACATGTTCGAGACGGTCATCGACACCATCGGCTTGAATTTGGCTAATACGGTAAGCGGAAGCCCTCGATCCGCATAACAGCTTTTTTTTCAGAACAAACCGATTGATGGGTTCTTGAAAAATCTTCTCTTCGAGCCTCAAGAGCAACTTTTGCCAATTGTCGTCTCCGTTTTATCTGGCCCTTGCCCGTCAAAGCCCACTGTTCTATCCGCTATAAATGGAAACTATTCTGATTACCTTATGGCGATAAACGAGCAACTCAGCCTCGCTGCGGTGATCGGCAGGTATTGGTGAAATTTTTTGGCAAACGGTATGGGTTTTCCAGGCTGGGCGCTACAATTCCTACGGCTCATCTTGAGGCGATAGCTGAACTCTCCATCCGGCTGATCACACTCGATAAATTTGAGCAACAGGTGTGTTTTCGGGACTGATATATCATCATTGATATCGAATTAGAATTTTGCGAATTTCTTATTGCCGAAAAATTAATAACTTAACTTTCTGTACTTTTCGGTCAGATGAAGATTCGTTGAGATGAAATTTCGATGAAATAAATATATTCCAGTTTCCAAAATCCCTAATTCGAAAAAAATTTTTTAGTTGGGCGGTAGTCCGCTGACGGACCGTATAATCGCGACGGCTCCCGACGACATCTGGGCGAAGGTTGAGCCAATCGTCCTCGCCGGAGAAAACAAGATAAAGATTTTGGAAGGTACAAAAAGGATTTCGATTGAATTCTTTTCACCTGCAGATTTTTCACATGCGAATGACGATCCTGCTAAGCTGAACACTGTCATCCGTATCTTGGCCATGATGGAGCCGGCGGAGAAAAAGAAGTATTTTGATGCGTATCTGGCTGAAAAGCTGCCGCTTACCCCTGCCAATTTATTGCTAGTGATTGTAATTTGCGAGAAAATTCGGGTACGTAGTTTTATTCGATTTAGATTGTTTTTTTCTAGTTATCTCTCGCTCATGCCAGTAAAATGGCCGACTTGTTGCTGGGTCAGGTGTGTGCTATGGAGCTCGCGGACGCGCAAATTGGTCAGAAATTGATGTAAAAAAAATTATTCGTGTTTTAGAATCGGTCGTCGGATTTCTGACCGCCAACTTGCCAAGTTCGGAAAGCTTAAAGGCGGCATGGGAGCGCCTAACACGAGAAGCTTCTTACGATCAGTATTTTTCGAAGAAATTAACGTCCTTTTAATTTCAGGGTGCGTAATACGGCGATGCTTCTTACACGGCTGTGCTCGGAGAATGAATATTACACGGCGATACTTCCGGATCAAAACGAGTTGACAGGGTTTCTGGAATTGTTGGATTCTTTTGTAAGTGACAGATCTCATTCTTTATTCTCGAGCTATTCTAGACGTTCCCGATTACGTTGGCCGAATTGGCCGTCATGCCGTCCACGTCAAATTGCTGCAAAGAAAATTCTCTGAGCTGGCCAGAGCTGCGAAAAATCTTCTCTAAGAAGGCGCTTTTATCCCTGAAAGTTGGGACCCCAACGGTATTTTTGGTGTGGCTATCTGTAGAACTTTTTCCAGCTGTCATCACGTCGTTTCGCTCTGTGCATTTCTGCCGTCTACGCAGCATTGAGATCGATTGATGGGATCGAGTACTATCACTTTGACGAAGACCATGGATTCGATGAGGAATTTGCCCATAATTTCGAGACGACTATTGAGGTGATAATTTTGGAGTTATTTATAAGTGCATTTTCAGAACGATGCTCAATTGGCAGCTATCATCTTGAAAACGTTGATCTCGCTCCCAAATCCGATTCCATTGACGGCATTATTGGCGATCCGGTACATGGCCCGATTTTTCGAAAAACCAGGTAGATCCAGTCTGGTTTGTTAATTCCCTTTTCAGGACATTCCTGAGGATTTACCCGAAGTCTCTCAATTTCCGGTCGCGTGTGCCCTCCGAAACCTGCAGGTTATAAAGACGCCACTGACCGAAGATGAAAGGTGGCTGTTACGGTAGGCAGGGAATGGCTCCTCAAAAATTATAAATTGTAGTTACCACCAGAAGCCGCCTCTTGAATTTCTGGAAGCGCTGAACCGGGTCGTCGCAACTGGCTCTACCGAATTTGAATTGTTTATCCCTAAGTAAGCGTCCAGTAAAATCCTTTTCAGATAGACCCATTTTAGGAAACCCCAAGAACGTCTCAGCATCTGCGCTTTGAGGGCGGCACTTCGAATCCTGACTTCGAAGAAGGAATGCGATTCGTCAGTGCTCGATTTCGTCGTCTGTGGGCTGTTGACAACTTTCGATGTACGGAAGCTCAAAAACCATTTTTTGGTGCTGGTCCATTGGCGAGGGGACGACCCAAGCTTTCCTTAGTTCACCTAAGCCTACTTTCTCATTTTAAGCTTTTTGTGGATGGAAAATGGGTATAACAAAAATTTTTAGAGTTTAAAAAAGATCTGAGTGAATCGAACGTCTTTGAAAAATAATAAAAACTGAAAAATTTTCTATTTTTAGCATTGTGATTCTGCACTGGCCAACATCGAGGCGCTACGAGCTGCCAGCCAGCTGACGATCACCAATGTTTCCTTGGGCCTCCGCCTATGGGTCGCTGCCGTCGATTTTGCGAAGAACTCTGCCACTGAAGATTTCAGAAAGGTATATTGCACTAAAATCGGGAAATATCTAATATTTTAGGAATGGCAAGAACTGTTCTACCCGACAATCTCTGGCATAATTCTACGGTTCTTTGTCGATTTGGTCGATCCAGGTTTGCTGGCCTTTTCTTTCTGAAGGTATTTTTAGAAGACCCCGAAGCTTGCCCCCTTTCTACTGTCCCTCTGCCGGGCCGTCTGGTCGATCGCCGAATTGAACTTCGACCAAGAGTTCCGCTTCATTCCGCACTATCTGCCACAATACGATGCCTTCAAGTAGGGGTAAATCCGGAAATTAACGCTTTTTCAAGGTATTCTGGCGTCGAACAGGCTTTCATCGAACAATGCGCTCAACTCATAAAATCCAAAAATCATTACGCTCAATTTGCGGCTCATCATTTGATGTCAATGTAAGTATCTGCCCTTCGTGAGTAGCTAATTTTTTAGGTATTCCTGGAAGATGTACCGCCAAGAAAACGGGGACTACGCCGAAGAATCGGGGGAGACGCTGAAGGTTGATGGGGAAAAGGCTCGTCAGCCACCTATCGCGTTTCGGGAGATAGTGTTAGGTGGGAAGGACACTTTTTTAAGGCTGTTGTAACCCTAGCAGCCCGGAATTTTTGACCAATGATGTCCTGGTTTTACTTGTGCGTTAATTTTTCTACGATTTTCTATCAAATTTTCTATATATCTGGATATTTTGCATGAACTGACGCTGGAAACATATTTAATCGGTTTAATAACATTTTAAAACAATTTTCGTTGATTGCCTATTTTACCCTTCCTCAATTCCCCCATTTTAGCCTCTCACTCGTTGCCGTCATGCCTGGCACTGGATGCCTGCGTGCGTATCTTCCCGCTTTTCCCGACGCATTCCGAGCGGGTCGTCTATTGCGATGGGATGGTGCCGCTGATCCTCCACGCTCTTCCGGTCGTCGTCTCGCTGGCTTCACAGCAAACTCGTGTGTTTTTTTCTTGGAGATTTTTTTGACGCCAACTTATTTTTAGCTCGGACCAACCCCGCCAGCTACTTCGCCACTGAGCCACCAAAAGAAGCGGCAGACACGATTTGCCGTTTTGCCTGTTCGCTTCTCTATCGGTTAAAATATATAACTGTAAGAATTTAATTTTTTTTGCTTCAGATTAGTAGAACAAGTGCCAGCCCTCGTCCGTATGTGGTACAACAAGCTCGATCGCGCCCCATCAATTTCCGTCAACAAGTATTGCTGCGAAAATTAGCGTATTTTTGGCTTAGGTTCTTCCGCGAAAACGTGTCGAAGTTGGGCATCGACGCCGAGCTGACCAAGGTGCGCGAGGGTGTGCCGAGCATCGACAATACGGAGAATACGCTCAAGGTATCTTTGTGGTGTTTTTATGACCTTTTTCTAGATACGAACGCTACCAGCAGCTGGCGAGGTGGTGACCGAGTATACGGTAGAAGAGACGACGATGCGGCTGGTCATCGTCCTGCCGAGCGATTGGCCCCTTCATGTACCACAAGTTACCCTTGATAAGGTGATTTTGAAATTGTCATTTTAATTTTCAATTTGAAAGTTAATTTGTTAAAAAAGTTGGGAGCTTTTCCAGTATCGGGGGAGATTTTTTTCCGCATTATCTCTACACTTTTTTGTACTCTAACGTCAAATATTTCAAAAAATGCTGGAAAATACATATAATATAGTTTTTTGAGCAACATTTTGATTTTTAGAAGTTTTTTGTATGAATTTTGCATTTGAAATCGTCAAATCTTAGGAGCAATTCTATTAAGAAATTTGATATTCCGTACCGGAAAGATTTAGGCTTATATCAAGCGTTACCCCCCCCCCCCACGGATAATGCAATAGAGCCAGATTTTCAAATGTTAAAATTTTTGATTGTTTTTCAATTATATCCTATTTCAGTCGGTCGCCGCTTCTGAACGGACGAAAAAATGGCTACTCCAGCTGACGACATATTTGTTCCATCAAAATGGGTCTATGCTGGACGGGCTGGTGTCGTGGAAGAAACAAGTATCGATTTCCACGGGGAAACTAAATGTGTGAAATTTAGGTGGACAAGGAGGTGGCAGGGGCTGAGGCTTGTACCATCTGCATGATGAGTGTCCACGCCTCTTCCCATCAACTACCCAGGGTCAAGTGCAAGCAGTGCAAGAATAAATTCCACTCGAATTGCTTGGTAAGGAGCTTAGGTTTCTTTTTTCAATATCGGGAGAGAAATTTTCCAACACTTTTGTTAGGAATTGTTTTTACAATGTTTTTTTATTATCCTTAGAGGGCCAGTTTACAAATTTTGCTGTATATATATATATATATATATATGACACATATCGAGTTTTCGACGAAAATTACAATTTTCTAGCCATTTTTCTATATTCTCTAATTCAATTTTCCAACTAATAGATAGCTAATTCTTATAAAAAATGAAAACTTGTAGCCTTATTTATTCCCATTTTATTTTAAAAACACGGGATAGACATTCAAGATACAACAATGTCGATTTTTTTCGACCAAACCCAATTTTAGCGATTTTTCTAAGTTTTTTTTTGAAAAAATCGGTTCTGCTCGAAATATTGCCCATTTGTCAATAATCTTGTATCGCTAAATATATTGCATTTTAGTTCAAATGGTTCGAGTCGTCAAATCAATCGACATGCCCACTTTGCCGATCTACCTTCACATAACCTGTGTGCCTTATTTATAGCCTTTTCCATACGTTTTTCGCGTTGTGATAGCCAATTATGAACCGGTGTTTTCTTTGCTGTAGTTTATTGTTCTGTTTGAAAGAGTATTATAGACTGAATAAATCTAAAGTTATTGAAATGGAATGTGGCAGATTTGTATGATCAGCTAATAATAACTAACCAAGTCGAGCTGTTTGCTAGGAATTATTATTAGACGAAAATGCCGATCGTCGAATTGGAAAGGGTTGAAACATTTTCCGCTTCTCATCGATTGCATTCTCTAGCGTTGACTGATGCGGAAAACGAAGAGGTAAGCTCAACCAGTAAAAATTTTAAAGTTTTGAAGAAATCGAAATTTTGTATAGTTGACTCGTTTAGAAATAATTTTGAAACACTTCCACTATTTTTATCTGAAAATTAGATCCTAAGAAAAAAAGTTGGTTTCCCCCCGATAAACCCCTTCCCCCCTCCCCCGATAATGCAAAAGAACCAATACTTTAAGAAAATAAAGACCAACCAATAAGAACAATCATAAATAATTCAGACGTACGGTAAGTGCAATAATCCGAACGGCCATGGACACAACTATGTATGGAGGGTAGGGTCCTAGAAAAACACACGCTGAACCGGCCCCCATTCTAGGTAACCCTAAAAGGCGAAGTCAACGAAAAAACGGGCATGGTCTACGACTTGGCGCTACTCAAACAAGAAATGGCAAAGGTATCCCCCGACTGTCGTACAGTGCAAAAATGGATTTAGCCCACCTTCTGTTGATGTCAGTTGATTGTAGGTACTCGACCTAGTTGATCATAAAAATTTGGACAAGGATGTGGCGTACTTCCGGCAACGGGTACGTTTTTGCTGCATTTTTTAAACCTTATTTAGGTGAGCACGACCGAGAATTTGACAATCTTCCTGTACGAAACCCTCCAAAAGTATATGATGCAGCCGGCAAAACTGTATCGGGTGGTCGTCGAAGAAACGCCGAAAAATATTTTCACTTATTACGGGAATTGAATAAATTGTGGATAAGAAAATGGTTCTCGCTTGAGCACAAGTTGAAATCTAAACTGTATCTTGTTCTTTTACTTTTATTCGCTTGTTGAAGCGGAGAACTCTAGGAATTTATGCTTTGCAGGTTTATGAAGAAGCGCGTTGATGATACAGAATTGTTAATACAACGTGATGGAGCCGACGAGTACGATGCGGAGAGCAATCGTAAAGTAAGAAAATTTTTAAATTTTGGGATTATTTGATGCGTTCGAAAGAAACTTTCTTTCTATTTTAGAAAACAGGCCATTCGTTCAACCCTTGGCCACATGTCTTCAACCTCACCAATTCGATAATTGGCGTCAGCGTGCTGGCAATGCCCTATGTTTTTCAACAGGTTTGTCGTTGTTTTTCCGTCCTAAAATGTTTTTTTAGTGCGGAATCCTCTTGGCTGTGTTGATGATCGGTGGCTGCTCGGTGTTGATGAAATTGACCTGCCATTTTCTTGCGCATGCCGCATATGTAGCGAGGTAAATTAGATTTAATTTTTTTACTTTTTCAGGAGGCACAACTATGAATCTTTGGCATTGGTTAGCATGGGTTCACTTGGTCGTCGAATAGTCGGGGTTCGTTTTGTAGAGTTTCTCGCAAACCGCTTTTTTAGATAATGATGCTCGCTTTCCTCGTCTCGTGCATCGTTGCGTTTATGGTTGTGATAGGTAAACGCAATCATTTATGTTTTCGAAAAATCCATGATTTAGGAGATATTGGGCCAAACGTCGTTGCCGACTACCTGGAGCTCGAAGCTCCGACTCAAAGGCTTCGAATTTTGGTCATGGTTTGTAGCTGAATCCACTTTTGTAATGTTTATTCAAGATTATCGTATTGCTCTTCGTCATCTTCCCGCTGTCGACGATCCAGAATTTGGAGGTGTTCAGCGTCGTGTCCTCGGCGGCAGTATTTTTCTATGCCGTTTTTGTGGTATAGTGTTGGTGGAGATTCTCATAAATTTTTAGGTTCGGCTTTTCGTCGGCAGTCTACCAGTTTTATGGGAAGGCACCTGGAGTATTCACGTGCATTGGTGGCGTTTCGAGGGGTTCTTTCCATGGTAAGTTTAGGTCGTCAAAAAAAGACGTACATTATTTCCAGCCTCCCAATTGTCGCGATGGCGCTCGCCTGTCAGACGCAACTTTTTCTCGATTACCGACAGTATGAAAGATGCGACGGATGAACATGTTGACGCGGTAATTTTTATTCGGATTTTTGTGAGCATCACTCCTTCAGGTCGTCGCATCAGCTATAAACCTTTGCTCTGGAATGTACGCAGCAGTCGGCCTGTTTGGCTACGTAACTTTCTACAACCTCGAGATGCACGGCGACGTTTTGGTAGGTCAAAGATTTAATTTCAACGCTCTCCGCAGGTCAACCTCCAACCAACATTCTTCACGCAAATGCTCAAGCTGGCCTTTCTCCTCTCAATCGCCGTCTCGATCCCGTTGATGCTCTTCCCAGCACGAGTCGCGCTATTCAACCTCCTCTCACCACAGGTATGTTTGTACTGCTTGGCGTTGTGGTATAGGGTAAGTGACCAGGTTATGTGCATCATTTACTCGGGTACAACTCCATTTGAAATCACATATTGTTTGAAAGCCCGAAAAGTAAGGGGAGGGGAATAAGTGATGTTACACATTGCTATGATGTGGTTGGGTGGGTGGGGGGTCCGATCATTTGCGGACGGAGCGCAGGTTGCGTCCCTCGTTGTCGGAGGCGATCATGTGCTCAGAGTGTTTGGCGTCGCTGAGGGCCACCTTCTTGCCCTGGCCCTGGCCCGGCTTCGACAGGATCGACTTGGGTTGCTGAAAAAGGAGCATGAACCGTGTAGAAGTAGATTTCCGATTTTTTTTGGTTTTGAAAACTCCTCGAACTTGTCGAAGACGTTGAAACTCAAAAAGCTTTTCGAATGCAAATCGCCGTCGAAAAATTGTTTCGGAAGTAGATGAACACAGCCGTAGTGTAGATGACCAAACACCGACCAGGGCGGCCTTGCCAGCGAGCAGTCCGCGCTGCTTGGCGGCGATGGCGCGCACGTCGGAGCTCATCTGGACCGAGGGCGGGGCGGCCGTCTGGGCGGTGAGAGCCTGCTGCACCCAGTGCTTCGCTTCGCCCGACTCGGGACGCTCCACCACCGAGGTCACCTAAAGGACGAGTTGATCAGCGGCATCAAGCAGGGCACACCTCTCCCTTCGCTTGCAGGGCCTTCAGCAGCAGGTCCCTGGCGACGTCCTTGTCCGTGACGGGCGTGCCGTCGATGTCGATCAAGTGGTCGCCGACCTGGAAAATGGGAATTTACGAATTTAGGACGATTAAGTAAATTAAACGTACCACGAGCGACTGCGCGGCGAGGGTTCCGGGATCGGCGCGGCTGACGAGCACACGATTTTGGTAGTGCTTGATTCCGAGGCCGAGCTTCGGGCCGCCGGGCACCCACGTCAACTTCGCCAGCATGTACGAGAAGCCGTCGCGGCGCAGGATGAGCTTCTCGCGGTCGGCAGGGATGTTGACGCGCTGGACGAGCTCTTGGGCCTTCTCGCCGCCGCGGCAGATGAGCAGCCGGGCGACTGGGTGGGCGAAGCGGAGGCGGCGGTAGAAGTCGTTGGCGTCAACGACCGGGAAGCCGTTGATCTTCAGGATTTGGTCGCCGATCTAGAAGTTGATTTGCACAACCGATTGGATTCCGATTATACCTGGAGGCGTCCTTCGGCGACCGTCGAGGCCTGCACGCGGGTGATGACGAGCTTGTCGTTGGGGACGGCGCCGAGCGGCTCGCCCTCCTCCAGCTGCAGCTCGATCTCGATCTCCTTGCCCTTCTGCGCTGCCATCTTCTTCTTGCGGTTGGGTCGGGTTGACGAATCCAATAGCAAGGCGGTTGCGCAGCGCTTTTTTATACCAGGAGTTGGATTTAATTTCTGGGACACTTCCGGATTCACTGAATGAGATGTTTATGCTAATTTAATTTTCAGGGTTCTTCCGATCACGCAGGGCCAGCCCCGCTCCACAACTCTACCTTCCACGTCCTGACCTTCGTGCTGTTGCTCGCCAACCTCATCGTGGCCATCTACGTTCCAAACGGTTTGTAAATGCGGCCTTAAAAACAGGACAACAATTTATGATATAAAACCGCTCGTTTTAATAAATATTTTTAGTCGAATTCATCCTGTCCCTTACCGGTTCCGTCATCGGCTCGTTCACCTCCATCATCCTCCCCTCCCTGATGTTTATCGGCGTGATGAAAGACAAGACGACACCAATGATCTTTTATGCTAGGGTTTGTATCACATTTCTTCACCGAATTTGTGTCTTTAGATGTGCATCTTCATCGGCATAACAATTCTCTGTCTCTCCACCATCGCTACCCTTCAGGTATTATCGGATTTTCGATTTTTATTTAATTCACCGCTTCAAGACCGAACAAAAATCCGACGTCGTTGAACGACCACTCCCAAAAGCCGCCGCCGACGAGAAGGCGTTGCGAAGCTTGGAGAAACTGGAAGAGAAGGTTATGGATGCGAATATCAACATTTCACAGGTTTGCCACGTCTATTTTAGTTTGACGACTTTTTCACCTTTCTAGAAACTGGAGAAGGTGGCAGACCTAGCAAAATCTGGCAACGAAAAAGAGGCCGAAAAGCTGCTGCTCGAAATGAAGGTCCAACAGAAGGAGCAGCAAGAGTTGATCAAGAAACAAGGGGAAATAGTTGAAGAATTGAACAGGTGACATCGCTTCTGTTTTTTGAAACATGCGTCTGGTTTTTAGGCACGTCGAATTACACCACGATCACAAGGAAAAGGAAGCTGCGGGGGATGAAAAAAATGATTCGGACACGGAGAAAGTTAAACCGTTGGAGCACAAGCATGATTTGAAAAAGGTACTGTTTTGTAAAATGTTTGGTATTGGACTTTTAGCAGGGGGGGGGAGGGTTGTTCCCCTCTATGGATCATATAATGTATTTTTATAGTGTTGTTTGTCATATTTGAATGCTAGAAAGGTGTAAAAAGGTTGCCATTTTGAGGTTTTCTGTTCATTTTTCATACATTTTTTTGCCAAAACATCGAAAATTTGTATAATTTTTATGGGATTTTTCTATCTAAAAACTGTACTTTAAAAATGGCTTATGTTTTGTTATACGGGATTGCTTAGAAAAAGTACCCCCCCCCCACGCCCGCAAACAGTGATACCATATTTTGGATGAAAATTATCACACGTTTAGGAACCAACAAAAGCTCCCCAAGAGCCTGAAAAACCGCTGGAAAAGCCCGTGGAAAAGCCGGTTGAGAAGCTGGAGGAAAAATCTGTCAAGTCTCCCGAAATTCCAAAAGAAGAGCGCCGAGAACCGAGAGAAGCTCAGTCCAACGTTACTGGTATACAAATTTTCCTTCCAGATTTTTTACACTTTTTTAGCCACTATCAACATCGTCCAGCCTAAAGACAATGCTACAGACTCCAAACAAGAACCCTAAGTATTCTTAAAATATATTTTTTTCGCTCGTCTTGTACTATTTATTTGGCCTGTTATATGTATTATATGGGTATTGGTTTTCCCGTTGGTATTTCTTTGTATTGGGTACTATTTGTTGTGATATCCCATCTTCTTTGTGTATACTGTGCCTTTCCGCTGTCACTTCTTCTTCTTCACCGATTCAATCTACATTGCACCTCTATTTCGGATCACATGCCGCTATAATAATAAATGAATATCCTGACCATGGCGTCTGTCTGGGTCTCCTAATTTCCGGTTAGACGCCGAATTGTTGTTGGAATGGCTATTGGGGGTGGTGAGGGGGAATTGTAGTCGTTTTCAGTCTATGCGCACACTTCTCAACGACTGCCTGGAGGTGACCTTGGTTTAACAAGGTTCGTGGTTTTTATGTTTAAAACTAATGCTTTCCCATACCGTAGGTAAATGGTTTTATCAGAAAGCTTGATGCTTCTCCCTGTTCAAACGGTATTAGGTTTGCCCAAGCGCGTGTCTGCATGGGAATGCAAATTCGATTGATAGCGCATTCGGTCACGAAGGGGGACATTTGAACGTAGATAATGGCCCCGGCAAGGCGATGGGGGAAAACATGCCCACAGGGCTCGATCGCCATTTCGATTGGGCAAGCTGGCAGATAACCTTTGGGAGAGAGTCTGTCTGGCGGTGCTACGCTCCTGGCCGTGGTGCTTTTGGCGGCACGTTCTGTTGAGAGTGTTGCTTTAGTAATTGTATTTTTATTTAAGATTTAGAGCTAGGTTTTTCTAGAGTGCATATTCGCGTCCAGATCCGGATATGGTTGGACCCGAATACGCCGAATATAATCACTATTTTTTTTCCTTAAAGGCTAGTCTTTTTAGGTGATGAATTTTTGCAGTGTGACTTAGCCCATTCGATAGAGCTTGAAACTCTAAACAATTTCTATATTTTACAAACCGCTGAATCACAAGTTTCTGGGCGAAAATTATCTTTGAAAGAGGTTGATTTTTCTGATTTTGGGACTGTTTTAAATGTGAACTGCTAAAGAGTGTTTTTTTCAGGGTTTTTTCAAGATGAGACTTGTTTAGAATTTCAGGTTCTGTTGAGTGAGCAGCGTCAGATCGCAAAACTCGCGTGATTTCTAAATTTCTAAAAACTACTTTTTTCGAGCTATTTTTAGAACCAGTAACTTCATCGGATTCGCTGACGAAACCCAAAATTTCAAGTTCTATCGAATGAGAAGTGAAAGGGCGCAAAACCTATCACCTAAAGTGGTTATTTCTAACCTATCTTTTAATCTTATAACGACAACAATTCCGGACTAACCCCTAGAGTCCAACTGGGTTAGCGGGGCTCGATTGTAGCCGGGGTTGTTTTTGCGATGAGCGATTGAGTGTGTGGCTGGGCTTAGCCGGGTGATGAAGGGGTGGATGCCCCCAGGGCCTAATGTCTCGGTTGGTGCGTGTGAGTGTGTGTATGCGCCTTGTCTCTGGGTCCTCTGCCTCTTTTTTCCTATCTTGACCCGTCCCTCCTTTCGGCTCGTTGCTGCTCTTCCTCCTCGTCCTCCGTCTCCCCCTTTTCTTCCCTTTATGGGGTCGACAGGAGGGTGGAGGGGCTGTCTTTCTTTCTCTGAGGGCACCGCCGACCCCAAGCCATCCCCCCACAGCAGCAGCCAATGTCCCCAGAGCCCCTTTTCTACCACCGCCTTCGTCCTTCTTCCCCCTCAAACGCAACCCATACAAGCCAAAATACTCCCGCGCCACCGACAAATTGGCTCCCATTCTCTTGCTTCCCATGAGACACATCCCCTCCGCCCCCGTGGGGCCCATATTTCTTTCCTCTAGCTGCCCAGTCAATTTTTTGTGTTGTGAGGAGTTTGGGTTTGTGGGGTGCCGCCGGGAACTGAATTGTTTTTTTATAGCGTAAATAGATTTTTTTTCTGGATTATTCAGGCCGGGAAATGTTCGAAAGCTTATCATTAATGCGCGCAAATACGCAGACATTAGTTGATAACGCTGAACCACCTTTCGGGGCCGAAACGCCATACTTCTCTGTTTTTTCATTGATGCGACTAAGAAAAATTGTGCGCAAAATATCGTTTTCAATTATAGGACAGAAATAATTCAGCAATGACACGACTTTACCTTACATAATTCGTTTCCAGGTTTCTGTCGTGTTTTGTTGAAAAAAATTCCGAAAATAGCTCTACGCTTTAGCGTATTCAGCGGGTTTTTCAAACCCTAATGCCAAATTCCCTTCCTTTCTAGCCATATTTGCACAGCCTACCGCGATATAGTCTGACGCAATCGACTTTGCGTACTGTTGCGGCTCATTCCGAAAGCGGAAACCCGATACGATGACTCGATGCAGTGGCATGGTCTGGCCCATATTGACTTTCGGGCGACTCATTTCGATCAATCGACTTTATTTGTTGGATATTTCTTGCTAGGATTGCTAGATTTGCTAGGAATTCCCCCGATTTAGTAGCCGTGGCTTTCCGGCTAGCCGGCTTTCAATTAGGCTGCTGCTCGCCGCCCTCATCTCAGCCGAGCCAACTCAATTCTATTTACCAGTACTCTCCCCATATTGAGAAATCTATTGGTTTTTCGGGCTGCCGTAATGCTTCTTCTCTTTTCTTAACTTGGCGCAGCTTTTTTAGTTTTTAGCTCTGGCTTTAAAGGTCACAAATCCGAATAATATGCATTTGGATATTCTAGGCTTTTAGCTTTCTACCAGGGTTGAAAAACCGCTTCGCGGCTCTTCAACCCTGGCCCCGTACAGCCCTGTGAAAGTCCTTAATTTGCATGTTCTTCCTGAATTCTAGCAAGAAAAAAAGTGAAAAACGGCTCCTCTGTCCCTTTTTGTAGGCTCTTCCTACTTCCGGCGTATGCTAATTTCACCTAACAAACAGGGTTTTACAAAAACCTATTTTTAATAGCGAAAACCACAATTTTTCAAAATTTTTATGTGTGTGCAGTCGATTCCGGACCATTTTAAACCTATTATCGTTTCTTCCCTATCCAAAAAACCCTTCCCCGGGGCTGTAGGAGTGGAACATCCTAACGGAAGTGCATGCAAATATACACACACACACACACACACAAACACTATTTTTTTATATATAGTAGGATATAGTAGGATAGTAGGATTGCGCTCCATATTTTACCCTCGACATCTATCAAATTGTCACGCGGAAACAAGTTCATAATGGCCTGCTATGTTGTACACTGAGCGTTCCTTGCGCTGTGTCCACCCTTCCCGTTTGTCGCATTACAGCACAATTGCTGTCCTCATTGCCCATTGGACCCGTTCATTTCCCCCTTGACCATTCCCCCCTGGTCTTTAATCCCTTCATAAGCTATCATTTTCCGAGTAGAAACTGGTGGGAAATATTCAGAAACACTGAAAATAGATGAAAACTTGCGATCCGAATAGATTAGGTTTCTTGACGTTATAAGTGATTTATTTCAGGTCATTACACTCTCTAAATATTCAAAAAGCATTCAAAATTTTCTGAAAATTTCCATTCCAGATGAGCGACTCGGGCCGGGCGTCAAACCCGTCAACGAGTCAGGGCTATTTGGAGGTAGGCCAGTCAGAATTAAATTTTAGTTTTCTTTAGAACGGCGAGACCGTCAATCAGGCCCTTGACAAGCTGCTTCGGCCGCTTCTATTATACAAATTACGGTACGTAGTAAATCATTATCTTCACCAAGTAATTTAGGAAACTTCCGGACAAAGACTATGGTGATTCGGTACGCGATCTCCACGAACAGATTTCAACGATTATTGACCAGGAGCCAGACGGGAATAGGTTCGTTGTGGCTGGAAAAAAATATAGTTTTTTGCAGGAGACGAAGACTCAGGCGAGCTTTACCGGCCATTAATTATATTCGCGAGCAGGTAGTGATAGTCATATAGGGAATAATAGCCATTTTTAAGGTGTTTTTGCTGATGCGAACACGACAAGACATGCCGGACGTCGATATCCCTCGCCTGGTGCAGAGTCTTGACGCTGTCGTCAAAGAATCATTTGACGAGCACTTTCGTGAAGCAGCCACCGCATTGGGTATTTTACAATGTCGCGGATAGCAATTATTCTTAGGTCTCGTTGACGTGATTGCCGAATTGTTGGTGCTTGAAGTGAAAGTGTATGGGACAGACCAATCTCAGGTAGGTCGTACTCGCTTAATCGCATAAATAACCCTCAGACGATGGCTGCCGAGCATCGCACACTACGAAAATTGATAGCCAATTCGCTGACGAATCTGACTTACGGAAATGCCCCGAGCAAACGCCGATTATGCGAGCATGATGATTTAATAGCCACGCTCGTCATTTTGATCAAGCTGCCTATGTTGACGCAGGTACGTATTCCGAAAGGGCATTAAACGTACGATACTGTTTCAGGTTTACGCCGGTTTAATCCGGAACGTTTCCTGGATGGCCGACAGTAAAATGTTTGAACTGCTCTCTCCAACCTGCCCGGCCGTTGCGGAGGCCTTTGTCGATGCTTATGTAAGCCATGGGACTGTTACCGTGGGGGCTTTAGCTGTGGAAACTAATTTTTTATACCTAAAACCGATTTAAATACCATCAATAATTTTACAGAAAAAAGCCATCGTTCAAAATATGTCAAACAAAGAAGCGCGGGATCGTGAAATGGCCGCCGTTTCGGCTACGCTTTCTGCCCTCTGGAATCTCGCCTCACATTCGGTAGGCTACAAGTCTTATGTGTATTTCCTAACCTTCCCCTTTCCAGACGGACAACAAAAAGGCAATCTGCAAAACGGAATTCTGCCTCACCTACCTCGTAGAACTGCTGACGCCCAACGCCAAGGCTACGGTACTAAAATTAACGAAAATTCATGCAAATTTGTTTAGTTGATTGTTGAGAGTGCGACCGGAGTTTTGAAATACGCGACACAGTACGTGTCCAGCGCGCCGTGTCACGCACAAATTCGGTAAGTTCAAGGTCCTTGCTTTTTCAAAATCTATTTATACTATTCGTTTAAATGATTTATATTTTTTTAGGGCAAGCCTATTACCCCCATTGTTACCGATGCTCAACTCTTCCTCATTTACGATCATCTCGAACACGGTGTCGGCCATTGACAACCTGATCGTACACGACCCGAATTTACAGGTTTTTTTCCGACTATATTCGGCAATTGAAGTAATTCAGAATTATCTGCGTGAACAAACGTACCCGCAGCTGAATACGCTACGCAATTCACAACGTGACGATATTCGAGCGTTGGTCAAGGTTGGCCATTTATCAATGTTTGAAATTAACCTTCAACAAGATTTGTATGTCGGAAAAACAATGGCCTAAAGTTAAAATTATGAGAAATTATGTAAAAAATTACATTCAATTTTTAGCGAGTGCTCAACCATCTCAACAATGCGGCCATGTATACGTCTCATCAATACAATTCAAGTAATAACATTTATAAAAATTATCATTCCTGCTTTTTAGTGATGTCGGCATCAATGGGCGGTGATATGCTGCATTCGGCTTCTCCTCGTTATATGGATAATCGTTTGTTGACTTTGCGTGCCTCTCGGGCATCTCCAGGTTCATTTTTAGAGTCTTTAGATGCATGTTATCGCTTATATCTGAATGAGTAATATTTTGTTCAAAAGTTATAGCAGGAATAAGATTTTCAGGCGCTCCTGCCCTTCCCCAACAAACAATGTCCATCTACAATCGCTCTAGCTCATTGCCGAGGCATTTCTCAAATGGAATTACTCCGCATAATGGAAATCCTGCTATGGTTAATAGGTACGTTTTTTATTATTATTCTGGTATTATTATTGCATTTTTAGTCAATTCCAAAAGTCACCCGATCACGTGTCCCAACGCTCCTATTTACAGTCGAATGAGACGAGCCAGTAAGTTAATATTTCTTCGAATCTTCTCATTGACGGTCGTATAATGTAGTCCACATTAACAATCATCATTTTCAGGGAAAGCGGAGTCGTAGGCGACGACGGCAGTCAGCTGGACGGAGAGTTACACGAAATCGAACCAACGGAAAGTCTGCGCGTCTCCCCCTCGACGTCGACACAATCCCTTGGTTCATTGATGCCAGAAGTGGTGGGTTTTGTTTTTCTAGTGCAGTTTCTGCTCATTATTGTTTTATTTTTATTTATGATCTTATAATCTAGATCCTATTCCAGAATACCTCCGGCTGGGAAAGTGTCGTCGACACGGCCGACAATAGTGCCCGTCTATCCCCAGTATCCCCATCCGATCTACCGGATTCCCCGACCGCTTACTCCAACCCTAATTTCATGATGCAGCAGGTTTGATTTGTCTCTATTTTTTAAGTTATGATTTTTCTAGGTTGGCTTCATGTCACTCGATCATGCTGCAAATGGCCCACGGCTGAATCCGCAGCCGATGGCCGCCCTCCAGATCAGCACCACGACCCCGCGACGCCCGAATTTGCATTCGAGGTGAGTGGCTCAATACCATGGACAAATTAAGTTGACCGTAAATTTTTAAAATTTTGATCAAGATTTCCGTTTTTAGACAAACTACGGCTAGCAGCGACGCAACGTCAATTCCGAGTGATGAACCCACACCCACATATCCGTTGAGGCCGAGCCGACGTGAGAGCCACAGTGATGGTACGATAGAGTTTTCGAAATTTTCCAAATGAGAAAGTCTAAATATCACTTATTTCTATAAATAAAGTAGTTTTAGTTTTAGTAGTAATCAATTTTAGACGACGTTCTCCCCGGACCAATCGACGAAAACGACTACGCGTCACTTCCGATCGACCATACCTTGTTGGACAAATCAATCGCGGCAGCCCTACCACCAAAAAAGCCAGATGTCGATCGGAAAGGGTAAGAATATACATAGTTTTTCGATTAATTACTACCTCTCTAGGGCCCTCCTCCTCAGCGAAGCCATCGAGTCTGCCATGCCGCCACCGCGCTTCCCGTCAGGACCCGGTCTTTTGGATGCGGCCATCCGATCTCAGATGCCGTCCTCGTCCCCCTTCTCGACCCAACAACACCATCTGACGACGACGCCAAAAAAACGCGGTGGCGGACGGTCACCAACAATTGGCAGCCAGCCACCGACCGTCCGCCCATCAACAGGCAGCCCCCGTCAGCCTTATCAATAAGTGAGTGTATGCTTTAAAGGGTACCGGACTGTTAGCAGGGGGACCAATTTTTATTTTGCGTCTATACCTATCTGTTAATAATAAATAGTGCATTTTATAAACTTTTTAATAGTTTTTTGATTACTAGAAGGTTCCCCCAAAAATGTTAAGAATTTTACAAATCGAAATTTTTTGACATTTTCTGGTCGTTTTTTTGATAAATTTTTGACCAATAGCCAATTCCTAGGAATTCGTATATTTTTTATCTTAATAAATCCATTACGAGCCTAGTTGCTACGTACGACGTTCCCTTTAGATCCCTAATGTGCAACCATATGGGTGAACTGGTGCGAGACGCAGCACGCCTTGACGAGTCCTTTGAACATCCCGATTCGGAGGACGAGCCCACCGACTACAGCGAATCCTCTTCCGAGGCAGAGCCCATCACCGAGGTGCATAGTTCATCTTTTTCTGTATTCATTCCTGCTCCAGGTCAACGCCGATCTGCCGAGCGATGTCCTCGAGGAGCTCGAAAAGGAGAAGGAGCTGCTGGAGCGAGCACGAGAAAAAGCGAGCAACACCCAGAATCGAACGTCGCGCCTCCGACCTCCGATCGCAAGAAAGCCGACAAATGTACAGAAGGCATGTCGTTGGCTTTAAAATCGAGATTTTTTCTGACTAGTTTCAAGGAAAGTGTCTGTACATGTTTTTACGATATTTTGTACAAAAAAAAAACTTATATTCGGTAAACACGTCTATTTTTAATAGTAAAAGCTTCTTTCTCCCTAAAGTCGCCAAGGTTTTGAATTATACAAACATTTTTCTAAAGTAAAAAGTGTTTTTAGTCTAGAAACAACCCTCACTCTTTCAGCCGACTAGTCCCCGGATGGCCGTCCAACCGTACAACTACAAGAAATCGACGGGTGCCCCGGTTGGAGAGCGCGACGAGGAGAAGCAGCCCGACGAGCAACAGGCCCGAATGCGCTCCTCCAGTAACAAACTTCTCGTGACAACCGTCTAGTTTTGAATATTCAATTCCCTATCGTTAGTTAGAGCGTCCTCGATTATGTGCCTCGTTTAGCGAACTGCCGCCGCGCCCCGTTATTTTGCTCATCCCCCCGCTCATCTACGGTTCCAATGTCTTTTTCTCGAATTCTCTCTCTCTACCCCTCAATCCTTGCAAGGAACTTTGTTTGGCTCAATTTTCAATAATCAACGCCTCTTGTGTATATGCGAACTATTAATAAATTGCCATTTTGTTTCTCTGTGTTGTGTGTGGGGGAAAATGGCAGTGTAAGGGGCACGATTTATTGCCGATAGTTGATGAGCACAATCGATCGCAAGAATTCTTTTCTTCAGTCAGTTTTAAGGGTGGATATTTTTTGGGGATTGGTGAGCCGTTGTGAATCAGTAGTTGGACCTCTCGAAATCGTATGGGTCGTCGAAAGAGACGCTGTGCATGGTGGCGATCTGAAAAACTGAAATTTTGGGGTGGTAAAGCCATTTTTTTTGTTTTCTCACAATTTCCTTTGAGAAAACGATATAAATTTTCATTTAGAAGTATTTTTAATTATCCTTGGCCCTCTTGAACGCGTCGTTAACCACCAATGGCGGATTTATTTAAATTCTACGTCTATTTGTTCATTTTTGCCCTTGTAAACCATTGCTAACCTTCTTCAACTTGTCGTAGACCATCTTGTAGTCAATGGTGTCAATATACTGGAGGCGATCGATGTATTGGAGAAGCTCGTGGTATTCATCTTTATACTTCAACTGCCCGTAGAGTGCCTCCTTGTTCTGTCGCGACAACTCCTTCGAGCGCATCACATCGTTGCGATCGCGCAGACGCCGCCAAGGAAGGCCTACGGCATTGTTCATCTACTATAACCAGCTCTGCACCCACCACCAATAACCAGCAGATCGAGCAGCAAATAGAACCACGACTCCAAGTCGTCCTTCACCGACAGCTCGGCATTCTTGTGGCACGCCAACGAGGCGAACCGCACGGTCCCCTTGAAACGCACGTAGCTGCGCGGCGTCTTCAGCTCGTTCTAAGCAGAAAGAATAGTTTGGGAGTTTGTTTAATTTGACTTTGCTGTTCGTAAAGCGCCTCGCAATGCCAAAGTCGAGGATGTAGATGGTGCGCACATGGGGAGGGAGTCCGCAAGCAAAGTTCTCAGCTTTTAGATCCCTGAAATTGGTTATATTTTTCAGATTCTGACGTTTTTGGTGTGGGTATACGTTTTTTTCATCGAAATCCCACATTTTCCGAACATTTTTATATTTTTACCAGATGGTTACAGTCGCTTCGCGACTGCAACCATCTGGCCTTCGGGCTACCCCATGTCCCACTCCCCCACACCTTTCCCACCCCCACCAACACCCCCCTCCCGGAAACCCCCCCCAAAACTACCTAAATACCTCCCTGATGGCTCCAGATGATTTAAATAATTAATTAACATAATTAAAAAGTATTAAAGTAACTTAAAAACGCTATCTGGGCGCGAGAGGGCAGGGGAAGGAGGGGGGAAGGGGAAAGGGCGGGGCGACCCGGGGGGGGGCCCCATCACTTTATTAAGGCACCACTTTCAAAGTTAATTTTAATAATTTAAACTAAAACTTTTTCATAATTTTTTTCTCAGTTTGGGGGTTTCTGACCACGCTCTATCCGAATCCGAAGAGAGCGAAGCTCTAGCTCCTTTCCCCTTCGAGTTGAATTCGGCTTCAGACACACGGACGGACGGACGTCTCTACTTTTTTATTATAGTTGATACGCTTTTTGTATCTAAAAACGGTGTAAAATATTATAAAAATTGTTGATTTGGGTTATAGGATTACTGAAGAGAAATTAGTTCCCTTTGAGAGGAAAGCAAGGCTTTATTGGTTAAATTTCGCCTATTTTAGTGATACCTATGGATGAAGTGATATTTGTGCAAATCCTCGACGGCCTCAAGGCATTGGCTGGCAACGGCAAGCCCGGTGCCGACGGAGAACACCTGAAAATCCAAGGAAAAACTCGTCGCCATCTCGCTCAACCCACATTGTGATCACGAAGTCGCTTCAGATCGTCCAGGCTCTTCCCAACGAGTTGCATGATGATAAAGTAGTAGTGGGGATCCCGTTTGCCTTTGTCGATGATGGCCGTAAAATGGTTCTTCTCGTTTGGCCCGCGCCGCTCCCCAGATACCATTTTCAGGATGGCAATCTGTAAGTGAATTGCTGTGACTTCAACCGGTCAATACCTCCATTTTGAGCTTGGAATGAAGTCGGGTCTCGATCTTCTTTTCGACCTTCATCGCGAACGTCTCTTTCGGCCCGCTTTGAGTGGTAATCTGCCAGGAGGTATAAAAAAGGATGACGCCTAAAAAATACTTGGAAAACGACTCCAAAACCGCCCTCGCCGAGTATCTTGTCCAAGTGGTATTGGCGGCTGGTCGTCTCAAAACAGCGGCCCTGATTTCAAAATTTACAAAGATAGTTCTGAGCACTTGCCTCTTTCAATCCGACCTCGTCCAACCATAGATCATCTTCGGAACTCATGGAGCCGCGCGAAACACATAATGACGTTTTTTACGCAATGGATGTCCATTACGGATTCAATCAAAATTACATTTCAATTTATACAAAATTTATATTGCAAATTTTGGATTTATATTTATCTCGTTTATTGGCTAGGTAAACCCGAAAAATTGCAATAAAATTTCGCAATTCCGGAAGACACCTATGGTCAACTGGCGTTATTTATTGTGGAATGGAATTCTTACAGTAAGATGACTCTTGAACGGGCTTTTGAAAAAGTTCTTACTTTTACTTGTATTGACTTCTTCAACCTATTTCTTTTCAACTTTTTCTATCTTAAAAACAATCTTTATTCAGAGATCCACGATGTCCACCTTGTTGCCACTTTGGTTGGCCCTGTTCGCTGTGGGAATACATGCAAGAAGCTGCGATCTGACCTCGATTTTGGGCACCAATTATTCAATGCTCGTCACTCTCAGCGAATCGGTACGCGAAACGCATTCTCTGCTTTATATTTTCGATTTTTTTAGTCCTGTATAATGCGATTTGAGACAGCTGTAGATGAGAGCTTATCCGTAAGAAGCCTTTCGATGCCTACGGGGTAATTTCTTTGTTCGATGAATTCTTTTCGTTTAGAGACGACGTAGCGGGCTGTGAGCTGCGGAATCTACGTTATCATTTGCTGCGCGATCCTCGCCGGCTGGGTAGACCAAGGATTCTGGCTGTCGGCGTAAGACTTCTGCTTTTCGACCTATTTTTTATAGACCAGCCACCGTTTTTCGCAGGGACACCTACAATTCCTCATCGACCCATTGGAGCAAAAACTGGGGGTAAAAATCGCTCTTTTTCTTACCTAACGAAAACTCCTAGCTGGACAGGGGGATTTCTAATGCGCCGCGGCCGTTGAAGAATTTGGACCCAAAAAGAGCTGACGGGACATGGCTCTCGAATTTGCAGCTCAATTGGGTAGTTTTCATCTACGTTCGCAATCTCGTTCAGACACAGACCGTCATGGACCACCCGAATCAGGTCCTCTACGTGCTCAACAACAAGAATTTCGTCGGCGTCTACGCGTTCAATGCCACACATAATCTGTAGGGTTTCCATTAACCATCAAGTCTTTATGTTTTATTTTTAGTGACAATAAGGAAGACTGGCGCAACATATTTGGAAGAAAGGCAGATGAGAAGCAGCTGAAGCGCGGCAATTACATCGAGGACCCGTATTCCGATATGGTAACCTAAATTTTTACGTTCCTACGCTATTTTTTTCGGTATACTACACCGAAAACGACGAAGGACATACGAAAATGTTCCAAATCGCCCCAGGTCACTTGATGAGCCACTTTTTTAAAGGCGAAGATGGACAACTAGTGAAGACGTTTGATGAACACCGGTAAGCCTTCGACAGGATCTCTAGCTGAAGTTTTAGGACGATTTTGGCGGTGTCGGGTGATGCTGTATTCACTCGTGGTGTTACCGAAGGGATCGTCACGAATTACATCGAGTTTGTGTCTTCGACGATCGGCATATTTTCTTTAGATCCATTTCTAACAGGGACGACGAGAGATGTTCCTTTGAGAATAAAGTTGGCCCGGGGCTCGACACGGCGCTACTGATCATCAAGTCAGACACGCTGATGTCTTCATTTAAATTTTCAGGAACGAGGATTATTGCCGGACGATGTTCAGTGCAGAAGAAGAGCAAGAGCAGTGCCTGGAGGATTTCCGCTTGCGGCCTCACTCAAGCGCACTCGTTGAGGTAGTAGTTGCTTCTGGTTGCGATAACTCTAATCTTAGGAGGCTTCTATCGATCCTACAGCGCTACTCCTGTGGCTGCTATTCATAGTGATGGTTATTTTGACAATTGTAGGTGTTAATCTTCATATTATTCACGTAATTTTTTTCTAGCTTGTGTTTGCCCTCTACCGTTCATCGGTACACAATGCTCGGAAGTATCTAGATGAACAGGATAAAGCCCATTTTCTGGTAATTGAATGTTCTGTTTCTAAAAGTGATTGTTTCAGGAACAACAAGCGGGTACCGGTGCTCCCTGCTACAACAATCGAACAACCCTCGACCAGAGCGTCGATAACTGGCCTGCTTACTAAGGCCAAAAGCTTGCCTTTCCCTCCTAGATTGCAAAAGCCAAATACTTATGACGGGCTGTTCACTTGAATGATGGATTCTAGTGTTGTTAAGGTTGTGCAAGCAGTTTTCAATTGTAAGGTTAATTAACTATCGTGAGATCGTGATAAATATTGTTTACGTGTACGGGCTAACAATCGGTGTTGAGTATATGCTCGAAGCGGAATCTACTATAGTAATAAAGCTTTATGAGCAAATATGTTGTATATGCGAAACGTGCGGGGAACGAAAATCACGACGGGAAGAGTGACTTTGGCAAAACGACAAAGCGCCAATGGATAATGTGTATCTGCGGTTGATGGCCAAGGGAATTACCGCAAATGGTATGAGGAGATTCTCGAGAATCGGTTGGCTGGTGAAAGGCGACGAAAATCAAATGAAAAGCAATGCAGTGAAGGCGACTATACATGATGGGGGAGGCGAAGATCGCAACGAGGAGGGTAATAGATACACGTATTCGGGGAGCTACATGAAATGAGTCTTTGTTTTGGAATAGAGGGCTGAGTTGTATACAATTGGAGCGTCGTGCGATGGAGAACCCGTAATGGAGAAATCAAACCGTATCATCTGGAATGGGAAAACTTTGAGACGTTGAGACACATTGGAGTCGAGAGACGAAAAACTTTTTATTTTTTTGACGAGGAACAACAGTTTGAAGGAGCTACAAGAAAAACAAAACAAAGTCGACTCACCGTGGAACCACCAGCGCGTTTTATTCGGATTTTTTCCGCATGTTCTGACGTAGAGGGCATTGTCTGGGGGCCGCTTCTTCTCCTTGCAGCTGGATAGCATGGAAAGGATGGAGAGGCACACCTGAAAAACGCAATTCTCATTCAGATTTTCCCACCCATAGCGCAAAAATATATAATTCAGCCTAAAAGTGGGAATTTTACGCGCTGGTGATACCCTAAAATCGCTGAATGTTCGGTGGTAAGCTATATAGATAGACTTTTTGTTAATATGGCCCTTGCAAATCCTATTAAATAAAAGAAAGTAAATGCTAAATCTAACCGCAGAAACCGATAGCGCCGGTGTCCAATCGTCGGTGAGGATAGATAGACAAATATGGCCGTTCGAGTAGACGTGCGGGTGGATTGGGATGTTTTCGCCAACAAATATCACCTAAACAATAGAAATTAGCTGACGCCGAATCTGGCTTACCTCAGGCGACGAAAAAGGGTACTGGTCGGAGAATCGAAATTGCAGCGTGAAATGTTCGCCCTCATATAACGTATTCGGAGCGCCGTCGACTTGCACGGTCCATTCTCTAAAAAAATAGTTTGTACAATAGCGTTTTCATACCAAAGATTATTAAGTGGACTCCTTAAATTCATACCTAAGATTCGCTGAGACATCTTTGGCAATTTGGACGCCATTCGGCGGTTCCTGTGACAGCTGCTCCAGCTCTTTGGCCAAGCGGCGCAGCGCGGCATCACCCATTTCCTACTCTGAAATGGTATTAAAACGAATCTATTCAATTCTCACCTTCTAAGCGTACTATCCGGCCCGTTCCACGAAAATGTCACCTATATTCGGAGGCTGAAAAAAAAGCGGTTAATCGACACAAAAAAATAACTGTCCGAATAGCAAAAAAAAACAGAAATTTACAAAGAATAAAGTAGTATCTGGTTTTTATACTTCCGAATATTTTTAAAAATAGAATATACGAAGTCTAAAACTATATACGAAGATTAACTCAGATTTTGTTGGTATAATAAGTGACGATTAGGGAAATGGCGGGATCGACCGGCCAGCTGAGATCCGCGGGTAAGAGATGGGAATGGGTGGAGAGGAGGAAAGTCAGGGATCGATAGCCCGCGAGCCCTCTCAACGCATTTTTGTGTCCCACCTGATACATTCACGTGGGGGCGCCAATAGCCCCCCCCCCAAAAAAAAAAATAATCGCAAATCTGTGGGCCTCTCGAATCCAAAAGCTACTAAAGTAGAAGCTTAATTTTCCTTTTGAAATAGCGACCAGTTCCCCAATTTCGTAAATAAAGGCTCTGGATAAATGTAACGTGTTGCAACGCGAACCTCGAAAACGAAATTAGCTGTTTATTTATTGGAAAGAAACGAAGAGACGCAGGGAACAGTTTGGGAATAGCGAGGAGGGCGAAAAACAGTTCGCGATAAAAGCCCGGGCCACATGCCGGCATTGGGCAAACAAAATACCCGTGAGGGGGCAATGGGGGAAGGGAACGGAAAAACAGATGGTAACGGAACCACTTATCGATCCGGCAGCAAAATACAAAGTGAGATCCACGAAAAAGAATAAAAGGTGTGACTTAATAAAGATTACCAATTGTACAGCGGAAATTATTTCTTGCTTTTATTGGGGATATTCCGTCGAGATCGTCTCTCGGTGTTGTCTGGGGCTTCGGCTTCGTCTGGCTCACGGGTCAAGAGCTCGTCATCGTCTTTGATTGTCAATAATACGTCCCATCGCTCTGCTAGTCCGGCATCTGTTGGAAGTTCACGATCAGCATCGTCGTCCGGCTGATTCGGGTCCACCTGAAGAAATGGAATGAAATATCTAATGATCTTTTTAAAGTTAGAAATGCCGAGTATTCAAGATCACGTATTTTTGTGTGTTTGCTAGTACATATATGATCGCCAAAGTGTTGTAAAAACCCTTCAGAGTTGGAAAACTGAATTTTTGAGAATTCCTGCGCCAGGCAGCCAAAAAAAATAAAAGTTTCTAACGGTTTCTGCTCCATTTTAAAACATAGAATAATCCATTATCGCTACGATCCAGAACCGTAGATGACCCATTTTTCAGCTCGTATATTATGAAAGCGTACCTTTGGAAGGAACTCCTCTGTGGTGAAATTGTTGTGCTGGACAACATCTTCGGCTTCCTGTTTCAAAAGCCATGACGGCTTCTCTGGTATGGCACTCCGGACAATCCCGTCCATATTCAGCGAAGCGCGCAATGCTGATTTGCCGCCATCCAGAAACGTTCTAAAATCAAATATAGCCAGGAATTTGCGAGACATGTCTAAAACCAAAAAAAAAACTGGGATAAATAAAACGCACTTAAATTGTCCCAGCATCTCCTCCAATTCATTTATCTGCGATTGTTGCATGGCCTGTAGTGTCAACCGCGCTTGCAAAGGGCGGAATTCGTTGATGAGATGGTGGATGTTGAAGAAAATCGTCTAAACTGGGAATTACAGGTCACGTGAACAAGTTACCTTTATGTCCTCAAATTTGTCAAGCCGATCCTTGTGATTCGGGTTCCGGATAAGAATTTCCAATAAATCCAAGAAGGCGGCGACAGCACTTCTCAAAAAAAAACGGATTTTCGAAAGAAAACGGAACCCACTTGAGCAATTTCTTCATCTCGATCTTCCATTCTACTTTGGAGCTCGGATATAATTGGGTGATGGGCGGGTCCTGGGCGGACAGTGGTCTAAAAAGAGGATAGACGAAAGTATCGGGCGGATCCTCCATACCTGATGATATCATCGTCGAGCTTATACAGTTCTCCAAAAACCGTGAACTCTGACTGGACTGGCGGGGGCGCCGCAGCGGAGCCCTATTTTGAAGATTCTATATTTTCGAAAGAAAAGCGTACCAGCTCAATGCGCTCATTAGTGTAGCCCTTGGCATATTCGGGAGGTGCAGGGAATGGGCTGACCGTCTGCGGGATGTTGCTTGTGATTGGGTTGATGGCGTTCTGCATTCTAAAGGGGAACATTGGTCTTGAAAATCGAAAGAGCATATAGCGGGTTATTGAAACCAGGAAATGATATACACGGACGTCAGTCAGCGTCCGTGGATGGTGGGGGTATTTTTTAACTCCAGTCCTAGTAAAATGTTCTACCTAGTAAAAACTAGCACTTTTCGAACCGGATTTAAACATATCTGGATGGATTCTGACATGGAAAACGCGGTTTTTGGGCGCGGATCACAACGTTACATCATCTCCCGATAGTCATACAATTTTTGAAGTTAACTTTTCAGTATTAATTGATTATAGAAGTAAGCTAAAGTTTCGAAAAGTCTTGATTTTCAAAAAATTTCTAGCTAAAATTTGCTCCATTCGGAACCGCTTAGGCCATGGACGCGCCGAAACAAATGACGGAATAGGGGCGCGCGCCGTTCGAACATTTTTCCTGCGATCAGGATTGCAGTCCTACCGTATGCTTTGTGCTTCTCGGCCCGTCCGACCCTCGCAGGCTGCCCGGCTACACCCCCTCTCGGCTTCACGCATCTGTGATCCTCACATTCGCTCTTCAACAACCACCAATCTTCCGAAATGGTGAGTTATCTTTTTGAGAACGGGTATAACTGAATTTCTACTTATAGATTTTCTTTAATAATAGTCAAGGCTTTTATCTAACGCTTATTGAGACGGTAAAATTTTGGTTCAGAGCTAGACCCGTGAATTTTTCAAAAGGTTAGCGTCTAATGATAGTTTACAACTTTTACACAACAACGCGTCTTCTTTCCGTGGCTTTTCTTGCTGTTTTTTGTTTTTCAAGCTAGTTGAAGGGGAGTAGATTGCGAATTTTTGAAAAGTAGGCGACGACTTTCAAGTAAACCGACACTCCAAATTTTTAGGCCGAAAATAGCCGGTAGTTTTTGGGTGAGGGTATAAGCGCTCGTCAATTTCTTTTTTTCAGGCTGATGCTGGACGAAGCCCCCGCCAGACCCGTGCCAGCGCCGCAGGAGGCACTCAACTGAGACAGCGCAAGGCCGCCACCGGATCCGGAGCCCGTGCCCGCACCGCTGGACCAGCCGCCGGAGCCGGAGCAAATGGTGGACTCTGGCGTTTCTACACCGAGGACTCGACCGGCCTCAAGATGTTGGTATTCGGCTTTAAGCCCCCCTTTCTTTTACCAAATTCTCTTTCCAAGTTCTATTTTTTTTGGTTAAAAGGGTGTAAAACTCTCAGGGGTGCAAATAGTATTATTTTACACTTGTTTCTTCATTACTAGGGCTCCACCTTAGCGTCCAAGTAAAAGAAATATATTTCTACGTTTGCGGTGTTCTAATGATACAAAAGACTTCGCGCTGCTTGTCTAGCACGATTTACCGTTAAAAATTTATTCGAAAAAATTTTTCTTTCTTTTCAATATTCTTTTTTTCAGCGGACCAGTCCCCGTTCTGGTGATGTCCCTCGTCTTCATCGCTTGCGTCTTCGTCCTGCACATCTGGGGCAAGTACACGAGGAGCCGCGCCTAGAAGATGCACTTTCTGCCTCCTCCGCCTTCATCCGGGTCAAGCAGCAAATTTAATTTATATCCTCCTTCTAGTTTCGCTGTGTCATCTGTTTGTTTATCCTTTTTTTGCATGTCGTTTTGGTGGGATATGCTCCATTCCTAAAAATGTTATTGTTTTTTTGGCGAATTCTTGTACACATACGTGTTGTGATTTGGGGACGCCCGTTACGGCCGATTAATAAAAATCTTAAACTCCATGTTTAGAGCATGAAAAAAATTACGCGACATGATTTACACAAGTATGAAAACTGGTAGAGCGGTTGTACTTTGAAAGCAGGATTGGTGCTTCCGTGTTAGCGGGGGAGCAAGGGCAAATTTTTTAATTAAGCCTATTCCTGTATAGTAATGAATTAAAAGATAGATTAGTAAGGTTTTGGATAGTTCCCGATCACCAAAACACTATGAAAGTTTATACGAACATCTTATAATTCTGAAGTTTTTGACCGATTTGGTTCCTATTGAACCTAAGTCTAAGCACCACAGGATTCTTTGGCAGTAGTTTCGCTAATGAAGCTAATTCTGATTTATTCGGCTAGCTCTTTGCCTGGAGCAGATTGCTCGTGACCACGTTGCCTCGAAACTGCATGCAAGAACGCCCCTTTTGAAAAAGTGAACTATCCATCATCCCGAGATTCGGATCTGGATCCTAATGGGGAAAAATGGGTTCTGCGACATGTGCGCTTTCATTCCCTCACTGCGATGAGCCTCAAGGGTTTGATCTTTTCAGGCGTGGTCCTCGCTACAGTTCAGGTACCATCAACCAGTGTTACTAGGCTTCTGCTCTGAACCTTTAGGCGGATGCTTCATTTCGTCGTCGGCCGGAAGTTGCGCAAGTGGATTGTGCGCGACTTTTTCGTGGGGATAGCCTCTACATGTTGCAAGTAACTTTCAAGAGGCTATATCAAACGCCAAGTTATTTCCGTCTTCATTGCTAACCCGTCATCCGCTTGTACCGAAGAAGCTCTCATCCAGCTGCGGAGCGATTCGAAAACGCGTTCTGATGGGCGCTGAATACTTCAACAACCTGGACAACCCATTCGCAATTGCGCGAAACGTCTACAAGGTCAACCTGGAAGCTTTTAAGCTATCTCTTTATCTAGGATTACGAATTTATCGAGTTGGGCCTGGCCGCAAATTACCACCCGGACGTTCATTTTTGTTTTGCCATCGATCGGAAGGCAAAGAGCATGTTCAAGAAAAGGATGCATAGATTGGCGCAATGTCTTCCGAACGTGCATCTGACGGATCGTAGGTTGTCGGAAAATCGAAAGAATAAAACCTCAGATACCTACAATTTCGATAGCAATGGTCACGACCAAAATCGGGGCCATTACAGCTGTATGAAGAAACTTTTGAGGGCAGATTCTGGTTGGAAATATGTGATTCTGCTTCAGGTGGGTGAAGAAAAACGTGTAGGATACGGTTTCAGAATCATGACATGATAACAAAAAGCACCCCAGTGCTTTCGGATATTTTTGAAGTGCTAGATGGCGCTAATGATATAAAACTCCAAAAGAAGTTCATCAGCGAGCGCATTGACCATTCGTTGGATTGGAACGTGAAGAATCTTCGGCTTTTCCCAGGTTACATTTTAAGAGTTTTAACAACAACTGATTTTCCAGAAAAAGACCCTCGAAACAAGGTGCCCCTCAATTTCATGCAATCTTTCGTGCAAGCCTCACTTCATCGGAAAACGGTAAAATGGATTGTGGATGAGGTGAAGATGGACAAGATGTTGGCGCAATTCAATACGAAGGTATCTAGTTAATAATATACCATTGCGAGGCAAACAGAAATACGGTGGTGATGAGTATTGGCTGGGGACGCTGCATGGTACGCCGGAACTGGGAATGCCGGGCGCCGTGAAGCAGTGCAGCGCGGGGGTGAAGTTGGGACGGCCGTTGTCAAGGTAAGTCGAGGATAATTTCGGTTTTAATTTTAGTTCTTACAAGGGAACCACAAGTTGGCACGGTGGAATTTCGAAAAACGCTCGCGGCTACCCCTAGGTTTTCGACGACGGCGATTCCAACGCGCTAGTCAGAATTAGCTAAATCGACCTGTGGGCAGAGATACAGCACTTCCGGAAAATGGTCAATTTACATTCGGAGGAATTAGCATTCACCTCAGGGTTTATGAGGGCTTCCCATCTCAGAAGAAACACCAGTTGAATGGCCAGGTGGTAAGCGGCTAGCTTGCTAGGATACTGACCAAGGTTCGAATCCGTCCACGACTTTTTTGTTTTGCGTTTTGGACGGAACTTTGAGCAAAACTACAAGCTTCTTAAAATCTAATCGTTCGTTTGAAAGGGGCTGTCGCATGAAAGATACAATTTCAAAACGTTTTTGCAGGAATCGGCCTCATCACCAACGAATAAAAGCTTTACTATGTGAAAAATCGAAACTTCCGTCCAAAAAGCAAAACAAAAAAGTCGTGAACGGATTCGAACCCTGGTCAGTATCCTAGCAAGCTAGCCGCTTACCACCCGGCTATTCAACTGGTGATTCTTCTGAGATGGAAAGCCCTCATAAACCCTGAGGTGAATGCTAATTCCTCCGAACGTAAATTGACCATTTTCCGGAAGTGCATTATCTATGTCGACCGGTCGATTTAGCTAATTCTGACTAGCGCGTTGGAATCGCCGTCGTCGAAAACCTAGGGGTAGCCGCGAGCGTTTTTCGAAATTCCACCGTGCCAACTTGTGGTTCCCTTGTTGGCTATTCTTTGGTATAAAAGCTTTTAAAATACAAATTTTAATGAAGATATGATATTTTAGTAGAAAAATCGCAGTCGAAAACGGCCAATTTTTCCTGATTTTGGAAAGCTCTTCAAACGCAAATATGGTTGAAATTAACTAAAAACACTGTAAAGGACCTATAATCTTTTAGAGCAGACACCTGGAACCCATATTTCATGCCGATACGCTGCAAAAGCCACTACATGAAGCACAGCATTTGCGTGCTGGGCGTCGAAAACCTTTCGGAACTCCGGGAATCCATTCATTACTCTGGTAAATTACGAGATACCTCGAAAAACGTACGCAAAATAGCGAACAAGGTGCAGCCGAGCTTTGACTGGGCGGTGGCGTCTTGTATGGCCGAGCATCTGTTCAACGCCCAGCACCACGCGCACGAGCGGTTGTCGGAGAAGCGTCGACACAAATATGAGCAGCTACGGATTGTGGGCTATCTTTTAAAGGGTTTTAAAGAATGTAAATTGTTTCATTGTTTTTTGCCATCCCCAAAAGGACAATTTTGTAAAGTTTTATGAAATTACAAACTATCCAAAATGGCATTTTCTACCGGAAATTCATTCTTAAAACATCTATCCAGTTTCCTACTATCCGTAACGTAAACTAACGTAATTTTGAAATAAAATTTAAAAACTCGATTTTCCGGCTAAAATCGTCCGATTTCAAGTAAAATTTCGTTTTTCTGACGTTTCTCTTTTCCTAGGAATTTTTCGACTTAACGAGATACATATTAAAAACGCAATTAAAATGTTTCGATTTTAAATTACTACCCCCCCCGGATAATGCAAAAGATCCCAGGCGCTACCCGCAGTTTCAGGTGCGCTGCCATCAGATGCAGAAACATGAAAAGTCGGCGATCGGACAGGAATTCCGGATGTGAACAATTTATTTGCGATCCGGACGTAATAACAATGAAATAAATGGGTGGTGTTGTACTAACTCTGTTCATATTAGTTGGGGTTGAAGAGGTCGCTCTGCTCGGGGATCAACAGCTCGCGGCTGTGCGTCAGCTACAAGGGAAATCTAGTTTAATGAAGGGAAAAGCTTAAAAAAAACCTCAACTTTCGTCTCGGCCTTGGCGACACCAGCTTTTTCTTTCGCCTCGTGCTCCTTGGCGAGCTTGAGGAGGGCTGAAAGACCGGGGTACTGGTCTGTTAGCGGGGGGATCTACCCTATACCTGCTTAACAAATATTTATAGCATTTTATGGTGTTATCTAACGCATTTTTAGCAGTTTTTCGGTGCGAAAAAGTTTAGAACATTTAAAAACTATATTTTTGAGCAAAAATCAATGTTCTTCGACAATCTAAAATTTTTTAGGATATTTTTAAACTTTAAAATGTCGAAAAAGCGCCCCCCCGCTATCAGCTCAGTGCAAAAACCACGTCTTCCGGATCGGCTTTTCCCCCGTACCTTTTTCCTGGAGATGGAAAAAGACGCGGCGCTGGAATCGACGGCTTTTTCCTGAAAAGCAAGCTTTAGTTGGTTGTTTTTTTTACTTCTACGCACCGTTGCGCTCCCAGTAGTTGAGGAACAGGCCGATCGGGGTGATCATCAGCCCGCTGCCGAGGATCACGAAGAAGAACGCCCATTCCCACGGCTAAAACCAGAAAAATTATTGTGGTTTTGGCAGGCTAGCGTGTGTGTGTTCCTTTCGGATATAAAAAAAAGTAAAAACCCACCTTGAGCTTGGTCGTGTCGAGGTTCAGGCTGAAAAATAGGTTTTAGAGCTCGGAGATCGAAACTCACATGCCGAACATCTTCTCAACGTAGAACGAATAAAAACGGCTCATATTTAGGATTTTTTGCCCTAAAATGCTCATTTTTTTATGGAAATTTATTTTTAGAGTCCTTGCGTGAGGACGAGTGGCTAGCGCGTTTATTTATCAAGCGAAAGGCCGATGGTTCGATTCCACCGGCGAAATTCTGGTGATAAATAATAATGGTATAGCTTTTATATTTGCTAGCATTGACGCTTTTTATTACACCGCGTTTCTAATTACTATATTCTGCCAATTTTGCGTGGAAAACGGTGTTTTTTTTTCGAGATTTCGATCGAGAAGAAAATTGAAGAAATTGAAGAAATTTAAAACGATTTTCAGCCAATTTTTTAGTCTAATGCCCGTCAAAATTTAGCTTTTTGATCGTTACAAATGATAAAACCATTTTCAACCAGATTTTCGGTTGAAAACAGCGTCAAAAAATTTAGTTTGAATTTTTTAAACGTTTTCAAAGTAACTTTCAGCCAGATTTTTTCTTCTTTCAGTCGTTAAAGTTCTGTTTTTCTGCATTCCAAATCAATGTTCAACCAGATTTTGGATTCCTTGGGCGGAAAAAGCTTTCTTTCTGATTTTTTTTTAACAAATTTTAGAACCATTTTCAGCCAGAGTTGTGTTTCAAATGAGCGCCAAAATTTTGTTGTTTGAATTTCACAAATTTTAAAACCATTTTCACCAGCAGGAAGTCTCCCTGCTATCCGTTGGCCACACAGGTGCGACGGGCCATCTCAATTTTTCTAATTTTCTCCCATCTATCCCCCAAAAGGTTTGGAATTTTCCCCAAGCAAAGGTCTTTTAGTATTTTCCGACGTTCCGGTGCCGCGTGCGCTTTTTCGAGGCGTTGGCGACTCTCGCGGGGCGCGCGTTCCACCTCCTCGTCCCCTCAATTCCCCCTCTATTCCGCGGCAATTCCCTCCCCCCACGGCCTGCCCGTATATAGGTGTCAAGCGGAGGGGTGTAGAACCGTCGGTCCACCGTACCCTCAAACCACGATGGAGCCCCAAAAAGAGCTCTCTGCGCGGCGTCGCCTTCGCGGCGGTCGTCTTCTCCACCGGTTCGTTTGATTCTTTATAATCTCATAATTTTATTATTTAGACTAATTAAAACCTGAAATTTGTTTTTCAATTCATTAAAATTAATTCCTATCTCCTATGACGTATTTTAAACAATTTAAGCTAAAATTTAACCATACAAAATTTAGACCAGAAAAATCTTAATGTGGTTAATATTTCGTTAGAATTAATCAATATAATAAAATGGTTAGTTTCATACAATTTAAACAAAAATAACTGCCCAAAATGTCGAATTTCTCTAACATTTTATAAAATTTAGACCTCACAAACTAGTCATTCAAAGGTCTTAAAGCGATTATCTAGCGCGAAAATCAAACCTTTAAACCACTAGGTCTCGACAGCGACGCAAGACGGCAAAAAACGCTGCTTTTATCGATCTTCGTAACGTTCTAGCGTTCGTGCAAACCGCCAGAATCTTTCATCGACGTGTTTTGGCGTGTCGCGTAGCCGTAGCGTAGCGTAGATTTTCATTTTAACTGGGTTTTAATGGTTGTATAATTAAAAACCAACTAATTTACAATTATTTAAAGAGTGATTTCAGTCGCCGTGACGGCCTGCCTTCTGGCCTTCCCTTTGGTCTTCCACTATGTGCAGACCCTCCAGGCTCACGTTCAGGTTAGTTTTTACTATACAACATTTTAAAAATGCAAAATAAACGATTTATCCTATTTTACCATTTAAAGTGCGTGGTCGAGGCGTTAGCGCATCTGTCTCTCAATCTCAAGACCAGGGTTCGACTCCTGCCCACCGCCAAACTTTTTGCCATTTGCTCTGTAGCCCGAATATCACCAAGGAGTTAGAAGCTCGGGCTCCGCGAACTTAGAAGCTGCCTTTGTTAAACCCCAAAAAGGGTGTTGTGTGACTGTGTGGGGTACTTGAGAGGGCGACCTGGCTGGCACTTGTCCTCTTCCAAGTCTTTTTGAGCTCGTGCTCCATCCCCCTTCCCGCCATGGGGCTTTTTTGTCCCGATCGTGCGGTCGGGGAGGTGGAACGAGGAGCAGGAGGTGGAGGTGGCATGACTGGTTCCTCCCCGCAACCCCATATTTTTCTAAAAAGTGCCGTGGGGGGAGCGAGAGAGCGAGAAGGAGCGAGAGAGAGCGAGAGAGAAAGAGCAACAGATGCCGTAATAAATTCTAATTTCTTTCAGGGTGAGGTTGAGTACTGCAAGTCTCGCTCGCGCGACATGTGGAAGAGCATGGTTGAGATGGGATCTGAGGGACCGGAGGATGCTCTTGATGTTCTTGTCCGTGTCACCAGGTAACCATTTTTCACTTCGAGGCACCATCCCTTTAAAAATCGATTCGACTTACTGTAGTACGAAATACTCCCCCGATTTTCCAGGCAAGCCGAGGCCCAGTGCTGCACTTGCCAGCAAGGACCCCCCGGAGCTGATGGACCCCCAGGAACCCCTGGACGTGATGGAGAGCCCGGCCGTGGACCCGGCCCCGATGGACCCCCTGGCCCTGATGCTGATCTCCATGATCGTCTCCTGCCCGTTCCTCCTCAGTGCCCTTGCCGATCTGCCCCTGGACTCCCTGGACCCCCAGGTACGGTAGTTATTCAAAAATCCATAGAAATATCCATAACCAAGCCTTAGCACCCTTTTTTAAACAAGAAAATACAGGAAATACGGCGGAAATTCACGAGCGCATAGTATAAAACCGTATGGATTAGTGAGTTGTAGCGAACGCGACACTCCTATGTACACAGGGGCGTAGCCAGAAAAAAATTTCGGGGGGGCCCCGAAAAATTTTTTCCGAAAAACTCAATCAATTAAAAAGAAAACAGCGCCGCAGGCAAAAAAATTTAGAAACAAGGCTATGTAGCTCTACAAATAGTCGTAAAAACGTGAAAAAATAGCGCCGCAGGCAGCAAAATTTTTGAGAAAATAAAAATCATAAGGGTCCCCCCTTATGAAATTTTCGGGCCCCGGCCGATTTCGGGGGGGGCACCGGGCCCAGGGGGCCCACCTTACGCTACGTCCCTGTATGTACACCTCCATAATATGAGCTTGATACATTTGGCTTTGCTGAAAATTTTGCGCACTTATGGTCTTCAAAAAAGTTAAAATCCCAAAAATCATAAAGTTTGAATTGTAATTATGTTAATAAAATTTTATATATTTTATATATTATAAATATCGCTTCAGGACCCTCCGGAAACGACGGCCAGCCCGGTGCCCCCGGAAACCCCGGCTCCGATGGTGCCCCCGGACCCCAGGGACCCGCTGGAGCTCCCGGAAACCCCGGAGGCCCCGGACAGCCCGGACAACGCGGAGCACCCGGAGAGCCCGGCACTCTTGTCCCCGGTAACGGTGGACCCCCCGGACCCCCTGGACAACCCGGACGCTCTGGATCTCCCGGACAGCCCGGACGCCCGGGTGGCCCCGGAAAGGACGGATTCCCCGGTGGACCTGGAGCTCCTGGAGAGCCTGGACAGCGTGGACCCCCTGGACCTCCTGGACCATCTGGAGGACCCGGCGGAAATGGACAGCCTGGTGCTCCTGGATCTTGCGACCACTGCCCCCCGGCTCGTCTTGCCCCTGGATATTAAGTGTCCCGAGTTGGCGAATAAATCAGTGCATTCAAGGTTTTTGTACGGTGGGATACGGTGGATCGGGTGTGGGATAGTAAGACATGATACGCAACTACAGAAAAAAAATTAGATGCTTTGGCATTATGGGGGGTGGTTTCGAGTTTTTTTGTCTATAAGCCCAGATCGGTCTAATAATGTGATACCAAGGATTTTATTAG